AATAAGAAATAAATATATACAGCTTCTCACAACTTACCATTTTCACTCTTACATTCATTCACTGTTCAACAGTTATTTATTAACTACCTACTATGTGCTCTATTTACATTGTGCTAGGCACTGAGGGGACACAGGAAGAAATATGGAGAACAAGGTCACTGCCATTGTGGCACTGATATGGCTCCTATATATGGTTTAATTCATTTCTCGTTGATCAGGAAAGTAAGTGATTCTGAGTAAGTGAAACCATCATGTGACATTTGGGGCTTAGGCTGTGAGCATCTCGGCAGCAGCAACTACGTCTTTACTTTCTGTATTCTCACTTGGTTCCTAGCAGGGCACCTAGTACTTACTAGGAGGGTAACAAATTGTTTCATGAAAAGGGGTGTGGAAATTATGGAGTAAATGAGAACAAAAGAGAATTTTAAAAAGATCAGTCAGGGCTTCCCTGGTGGCTCAGTGGTTGAGAGTCCGCCTGCCGATGCAGAGGACACGGGTTCGTGCCCTGGTCCGGGAAGATCCCACATGCCGCGGAGCGGCTGGACCCGTGAGCCATGGCCGCTGAGCCTGTGCTTCCGGAGCCTGTGCTCCGCAATGGGAGAGGCCACAACAGTGTGAGGCCTGCGTACCGCCAAAAAAAAAAAAAAAAATCAGTCAATGACGCAAAATCAGAGAAAGTAATCGAACATATAGTTACTTTAACATTGTTACAGCCAAGAACATAGCTACTTCAATTTGTTCCTTAGAGCAGCGGTCTCTAACGTTTTGGGCACCAGGGACCAGTTTCATGGAAGACAGTTTTTCCACAGACAGTGGTCAGGGGGATGGTTTTGAGATGATTCAAGTGCATTACATTTATTGTGCCCTTTATTTCTATTATTATTACATTGTAATATATAATGAAATAATTATACAACTCACCATAAGGCTGACAGGAGGCGGAGCTCAGGCAGTAATGTGAGCGATGGGGAGCGGCTGTAAATACAGATGAAGCTTCACTCATTTGCCTGCCACTCACCTCCTGCTGTGCGGCCTGGTTCCTAACAAGCCATGGACAGATACCTGTTCATGGCCCGGGGGTTGGGGACCCCTGCTTTATCCTGCACCTCTAGAAGATGTTCTAAATGGAGATGTTATATAGGCCCTAAGCCATCACTGGAATAAACATAGTGGAAATGTAACAGCATGTAACATGAATTGGGAAATTCCCTAAATGCCTTCAAATGGTGCAAATAGTATTGAAGATTGATAATATCAAGCAGATGTATTATGGTTCCTTACTAGTTTGAGTCCCTATTCTTCACCAGTGCTGCTAGTATTCAAAAGATGAAACAAAATCAGAGAAAGTAGAGAAAGTCAGAAATGTAGCAATGAGTTTGGAACAGCACTGGTTGAAACTTAAGTCACTTTTTTCTAGTTTTTATAAAAATCAACATAAATATCATAGTCAAAAGAAAATAGTAAAATGGAAAAGAAACCTTTATAGTCATCTAGAAGCGTTACCAGTTCTCTCATTCTTTTGAGCAATAGTGCATTTTAAAAGGCAAATAGAAAATAATTTTTTAAGAATTCCTACTTAGTGGGCGGCCTGGCGGTGGGCAGGGCGCAAGGGCCGAGGCTGTGGTTTTGTCCCAGGCTCACCTGGCTGAGGGTCGTGAGAAGGCCCAGAGGCGAACTTGACGAGGAGCCCCACAGCCCGTGCCCCGGTGAAGATCAACCCAGCTACAGCGGGCCAGGAGCCGGCTCTCTGTGAAAATGGCAGGACCGGAGCTGCTGCTCGACTCCAACATCTGCCTCTGGGTGGTCCTGCCCATCGTTATCATCACCTTCTTCATGGGCATGATTTGCCACTACATGTCCATCCTGCTGCAGAGTGACAAGAAGCTCACGCAGGAGCAAGTCTCCAACAGTCAAGTCCTAATTCGAAGCAGAGTCCTCAGGGAAAATGGAAAATACATTCCCAAACAGTCTTTCCTGACACGAAAATATTACTTCAACAACCCAGAGGATGGGTTTTTTTCAAAAAACTAAAAGGAAGGTTGTGCCTCCTTCTCTTATGACTGATCCCACTATGCTCACCAACATGATGAAAGGCAATGTCACAAATGTCCTCCCTCTGATTCTTATTGGTGGATGGATCAACATGACATTTTCAGGCTTTGTCATAACCAAGGTCCTGTTTCCACTGACCCTCTGTTTTAAGCCTATGCTACAGCAAGAAATTGAACTACTCACATTAGATGCCTCCTGGGTGAGTTCTGCATCCTGGTATTTCCTCAGTGTCTTTGGGCTTTGGAGCATTTACTCTGTGATTTTGGGCCAAGATAATGCTGCTGACCAATCACGGATAATGCAGTAACAGATGACTGGAGCAGCTATGGCCATGCTCGCAGATACCAATAAAGCTTTTAAGACAGAGTGGGAAGCTTTGGAGCTGACGGACCACCAGTGGGCACTAGATGGTGTCAGAAAGGAGCTCATGGCCAAAGACCTCCACTTCGAAGGCATGTTCAAAAAGGAAATAACAGACTTCTATGTTTTTGAAGACGAAGCAGGGGTTAGCTGTGTCAGGAACTCGGAGTAGCGCTTAACCTTGTAACTTTTGTTTTGAGCTGGAGCCTCTCGGAATAAAAAGTGGGATGCATGAGCCGGCGGGTGTGCAGCAAGGATTGTTCTTGTCTGAGCCGGGTTCCCCTTTATGTTTGAAACCAGAGGAAACATTAGGAGTGTGTGCTGGGTGACTTGCCCAGAAACAGCTATTTTTGAAATATTTTAAATTTTCCTTCTGGTGACTCTAGTAATAAAAGTAAGAGGGCGGGGGGGAAACTCAAGCTAGTGATAATATATAAAACTTAGCAAAAATTCAGAAATTTCAGAAAAAGTGTTGTCAGTTAAACCTAATTATTATGTACAGTCATTCTGAATTCTAAACCACAGTAAACTCCTGTTTTCTTGGGATCCAAAAAAAAAAAAAAAAGCCTACTTAAACGCTAGTAATAAGAAAAGCAGCCAACATTTTCTCATTGTGATTTGATAAAGACCAGAAGTATCCACACTTCAGGATTTAACTGTTGATTATACTCCCCAGTTTGTGCCCCATACTAAAACCTTAGAGGACTGGGTGTGAATTGGTAGGTCTAGACCGGCTCCTGCATGTGGGAAGAAGTGTGTCGCCTCTTCTCATGGTCTCATCCTGCACGACCTGCTTCAGACGGGCAGTCTGGGCTCCTTCACATCCATTTGTATTACTAGCAACAGGGTTTCTGTTTAATAGCATGCTTAATGAGTTGTGTTCTGCTATAAAGAGGACGCTAAGGTATTTTTCCTTCACTTCTCTAAAAATAACATAAATGTATTGTGTTTCTATCCCATAACTTACTTTGATGAAATACCTTTGAAATGTTTTACATGTTGTCATGGATGCAATATCTAGGTGTGATGAATCTGGTATAGTTCTGTGCTGGTTAAGCTGTCAGTAGACCCATAATACACCTGTATGGTGCTTTCCTCTTTCTGTTTTGGTATAAAAAGCTTGCAAATGCAAGGAGAATTGGGAAAGACAGTAATGTTATTTGTGTAAGGGTGTGCACACTGTGTGTGTCTTTGTGTCTATGTGTGTGACCATCAGATTGCCTGGTTTAATTTTTGCTCCTTGACAAAGTGCGTGCTTCCAGGGCTTTAATGAGTGTTACACTAACATAGTGAGAAGAACTCAAACTAAGCTGCAGAAACAGCCCAAAGGAAACAACTTCAAAGTTAAGACAAACCCTTTCTCTTGGTACACTTAAAATAAACAAACCAAGTCACCTTGGATCATTATTCCCCTATTTACAAGTAATTAGCTTGGCAAAAAAGGAGCAAAAATAATAGAGATGGCTTTACATTTCTAAATTACTACCTATGACTTTCCATATTCAATTTATTATAATTTGGGGAAAATCATGATGCACAGATATCCCCCATTAGCATGAGCCCAGGTTTTCCCACGTCAAAACCCAGAATAGAGGGTATTTATAATCTTTGTTTCCTATCTACCCCTTCAATTAGAATGGTATAGCAGGGCTTCCCTGGTGGCACAGTAGTTGAGAGTCCGCCTGCCGATGCAGGGGACACGGGTTCGTGCCCCGGTCCGGGAAGATCCCACATGCCACGGAGCGGCTGGGCCCGTGAGCCATGGCCCCTGAGCCTGCGCGTCGGAGCCTGTGCTCCGCGGCGGGAGAGGCCACGGCAGTGAGAGGCCCGCGTACCGCAAAAAAAAAAAAAAAGGTATAGCAGAGAGATTTCTACATAAGAAGTGAAAAAGTGCATTTTAACCAGTAAATTGGTTCTATCCAAAACATTTGATTATTTTGCTTTTCCTCTTTTTTTTCTCAGAATGTAATGAGTTAAAAACCTGCATCCTGGGTAAGAGGATGTTGGAGCAGGATGCATGTACATGGGTTTGATCTTGGGAGAAGGCCTGTGAAAATTTTTAAGTCATAAAATTATACTAAAATGATCTGGACAAGATGTAATTTTTAAAAGTCAAGTTGAGTTTACTTAGAAAAGCTGCAATTTAGTCTTTCCCCTCTGCTCTATCCTTATATTATTTCAAAATATGGATTTTTTCAGGACACACATAGAAGGAAGCAAAAGTATTTGCATTTATAACAAAAGGAAACTAATCAATATTCTTTACATAATTTCATTCTACTTTCTGAGTCAATTGGATATATTTTTAATTTACAATTTATATTTAATATTACCATTATCAAAAAAATTAGAACTCTTCTTTAGCTACAGATCAAAAAATACAAAAATTAAAACAACAACCAAACTAAAATAAAGACATTGGTATAAAGCAAAATAACTTTTAAGGGCAAATTTTTGGCCACCATGCATATAAATAAAAAAGAGATGTTTTAAGAACAGAGCATTACGGAAAAAAAATAACTTGACAAAGCTTGTTTACCTGCCATTGATATTTCTAAACACATCTAACCTTCTATTTTAATTTTTAGTTTCCTGGTTAGTTTTATGGTGGACGCCCGAGGTGGTGCTATGCGAGGATGCAGACACAATGGGCTCCGCATCATCATTCCGCCTCGGAAATGTACTGCCCCAACACGAGTCACCTGCCGACTGGTCAAACGCCATAGACTGGCGACAATGCCTCCAATGGTGGAAGGAGAAGGCCTGGCCAGTCGCCTGATTGAAGTCGGACCTTCGGGTGCTCAGTTCCTTGGGTAAGGGTTTCTGATAAACCTCCCACTTAGTCACCGATGAGCTTGTGTCCTCCACATGAAATCACTAGGATGGAATGGAAAAAGGTACGTCAAAACATTTTGAAAGAAGATTGGCCCCTATGAAATTTCTTTAAGAATTGGAAGTAATGCCTCAATGCTTGACTCCACTTAAATGCCTCTTATTTTAAGGCATTAATGGATTAAACATTCAGGTTAACTGTTATTTACTCTTTCTCTTTGAATGTGATAGTAGGTGCTAGACTCCCAATATGAATAATCATGTTTTGGTCGATGGTAGGTATTTTTTGAATCTGGGATTTAAGTGGTGAAGTCATAGAGAAAAAAATACAGTTGGCCCTTGAACAATGCAGGGGTTAGAGGTGCTGACCCTCCACACAGTCAAAACTTTGCATACACCTTAGAGTCGGCCTGTGTGGTCCTGTAATATTTACTATTGAAAAAAATCAGGGCATAAGTGGACCTGCCTAGTCATTCAAGGGTCAACTGTACTAGTCTATTCCAAATATAAAGTCTTGTATAGTTACAAAACAGAATCATTATCTTCACTTTGGAGAGCAGTGTTCTTTATAGAACATCCAAAAATTTAGTCTATATGATTTGTCTTTTCTGTTGTCAGAATTGCTACCTTGAGTCTTGTAATTATACTGGCATTTTATTTAGGCATAGTATTCATTAAGAGGACCAAATCAAGAATAACTTTCGCCATGCTCATTTTAGCAATTTTGAGCAGAAATAAACATTTCTTCTTTCTTCTGTTTGTTTGTATGGCTGCTATTTTATTAAGTGGTATCTCAGTATGCCAAGAAGTGAGTAGCTACTGCTGAAAACTGACAAAACAATGAAGTTTTGGAGGGGGACAAGTTTCAAAATATTTTGAAACAAATCAATTGTATTTAAGTCTTGTCATATCAACTCTTTGTGCTCAAAAACTGGGAGAAAATCCTATTAATCGTGAACTCTTGCTTTGCCAGTGTCATACTGGGGAGAGGATTTCTTGCTTTAGAACTCAGGAAATGTTCTAAAGCCTTGTAATTTGGAGCAAGCTGTTAACAGGTTGCTCCAAATTATGTTCACACGTGAAAAGGGGTGTGTCTGTATTTCCCAATTATGGAAACCACTCCCCATGTCCTATCAGACAGACCAGAGATTTAGAAGGAGCCTGTGAAGTTCTGGGTTGCATCAGAAGATGCCATTATGGTTGGAGTAATTCCCCAGTGGTTTCCCCTCCCTCATGTGCAGGTAGTTGTAGGCTTTTGAATACTCGTCACATCTGTTGAGGAATATCCATAAAAACTTCTGGCCTCGCTATGGAGTCAGAGTTTTTACTGTATCCCCAACAGCTCTGTCTTTCCAGTGGAGCATATTTTTTTCTTTTTTGGCTCATGCCCTGGCAGTGAACCTAAAGTAGGGACAGATCTGACCCCCATGCTCCCTCCTTCCACACGCCTCCATTGTACACTCTGGGTCTCTGTTCTTGCTCTTTGTGACCAATGGAGGGGGCAGAACCAAATGCAGTGTGAAACCAAACTTCACCCTGTTCGTCAGCTGGTGACGCTGGGGTTCTGTGGAAAACAACACCTGAAGCTTACTTATGTTCTTTCTTTCACTGCTGCTTTGGATGTACTCAGTAAACTTCACCTGCCAACGGCTCCTCCCCCACTTAATGAGGGAGAAAGTTTGGTCAGCCGCATCCTTCAGCTGGGGCCTCCTGGAACCAAATTCCTTGGGTAGGAGTGACTTAAAACAAATTGATGGCTGCCGGCCCCCATTCTTCTCCTTCTTCTGCAATATGATTTCTCTTTTTGTCATTGTGCCCATGACATGTCCCTCTCTATGATTTAAATTCTGTATAACCTATCTTTAGTGGACCATTTCTGACCCTTGTGGTATGTGACTTTTATTTTCGAGTGATGTTTTTCTATCTTTTTCCTTAAAGTGCTGTGACCTTCATTTTCGTTTAAAGCATGAGATCTGCCTAGTTGTACTATGTGCTAGTTATGATGTGACTATGATAAATTTGGAGTCTGTATCAAAGCAACCTGGACTGAAAAATCAAAAGCCTCTCTAAATTTTGAGAGTGACCTAAAAAGCAGTAGGGAAGTGCATGTTCTGGATCCTGAATATAGTAGGCATTGGACACAAATTGGGCTGCCTGCTGAGGTGCTCAATTAGGGCCACACTGTGTACACATGCCTATTGTTTTCTTGAATGGAGAAAACATAAGGAAAAAAATCCCATGAGTGCATGTCTTTCTAATTACCAAGTAGTTGACTTTTCTGACATCTCCTCATTTACAACACATCAAATTACACAGCGTATGAGCCATTTTCCCTCTTAAACCATTTTGTCATTTTGTACCTTGTAGAAAACATTTTAAGTGATTGGCACACCTCATAGATATGCATGTACATTTCTTTTGGTTAAATGTGTTATCCTTACATTTATCAAAGGAGAAGTTCCAGAATGCCACATGCACTCACAGAGAAACAGCATTGGCTTAAGGTAACAGCGTGGCCCTGAGGATTGGTGCCCCTGAGGTGAAGTGCTAGCTACCGCGGGACCATTTGCTAGCCTCAGGGCTTCAGAGGATGGCCCACTAGGTCCCTGTCCCCAGAAAGAGAAGAATTCCAGGTCACTTTGCAACAGACAGAGTCAAGGTGCTTGTCTCGATATTGGTTAGCTCCTGTCCACACTGAATGTTCTGCCTTACTGTGTCAGGCCTGTGATCGTGGAGATCCCTCATTTTGCTGCCCTTCGAGGAAAAGAGAGGGAACTGGTTGTCCTGCGCAGTGAGAATGGGGACAGCTGGAAAGAGCATTACTGCGAATACACTGAAGATGAACTGAATGAAATCCTTAATGGCATGGATGAAGGTACTTCATATTAAACGTTTTAAAAGAACTCTGAAGCGAAAACATGATAATGATGCGTTTCTTTATGTCCTACGGGCGTGTGTGTGTGTGTGTTGCTAATCCAGCTTGGGTCTGCTCGCCCTTGCACAGTAAAGCCAATCTACTGATCCCAGGTTGTGGTGAAGGAAAGTGCAGCGTTTATTGCAGGTACCAAACAAGGAGTCTGGGTCTTTTGAGCATTAGCTGCCCAGACACCTCGTTTGGCACCTGCAATAAACGCCACAATTTCCTTCACCACAACCTGGTGTCAGTAGATTGGCTCTACTGCACAAGGGTAAGCAGACCCAAGTTTGGTTTAGTAACAAATGTGTCCCTTTGTTATTTTACCACAGCAAGTATTCTCGTATGTTCCAATGGTGATGTGTTGGAGTATACAATATATTTGTCTAGTCTTACTTTTGTTACATTTGGGAAAATAAAATCATTAATAGTAAATATCTCATTTTAATAAAGAGATACAGCCCATCTCTATCTTTAATGTAAACTTTTCTAAAACGTGAGATAGAATAGATATTTTTGTTTCATAACAAAACGACTGATACTGGATAATAAATCCATGATTTTAAAAAATGCCTAACTTGAACGTTTAGATATTTAAGACACTGATAAAAAGTGTTAAGCTTTTCTGTAGGTAAACCTACATATAACCATAACTACTGCATTATAAGATAATATAATTTTTAACCTTCTATTAAGGAGATAGGAAAATTAAGTTCAGTCACACTTTATATATAATTTGAACAGGGAGTTAGTTAGGGTTGAATTTCATATACAAACCTACACATATAGTTAAGGAACTTATTTTTCATTAGGGCTTTAATCTCTGTAAATCCCAAATCCAGCTTAGGCCATTTAGCCCCAGGTTGAAATATCTTAGTTTGACTAGAGGGAGGTGCCTCATTCTTAGGCCTCCTGAGGTTGCACAGAGATGAGGTCTCTCAGTCCTGATAACTGCAGATATGTTGCACTTTATGTAACTACAGAAATAGGGCAAGTTCTTTGCCTAAGTGCCAAGAGCATACCAAAGTTTGCACAGAGGTAGACACACAGCTGTGTGGCTGTTTGTCAAGTTTTATCAGTCTTCCAGGACCACCGGCTGTAGCTTCAGATATGGCTCACGAATAGTGAAGTGTAGCCTGACAGCAGCTCCTCTAACATTTCTTTCTGCACCCTGCTGAGGCTGAATAAGAAGAGAGGCCAGGCTTACCCTATCCAAGAGGTGGATGGAAGAGGAAATTATGCCTTCTAGATGTGTAGGTCAGCATCTTCCATGCAAGATGAAAAGATCAGGATTCTTACTGATAAGGCTTGTTCTGTGCAGTATTTAGCTGCTTCTACTCCTTGAAACCATTTCTTTTGCTTGCATTTAGTTTAGGATATTTCCATCTGAAGTATTTACCTGTCATTAACACTGCCATCTTGTCCTTGGATGGGGACCCACTCTTATAACTTTTTACATATGTAAAAGGCTCATTTTAAAACAGAGAATAGGATTTGTATATTTTTATGTTCATTATGTGTGGTAACCTGTTCTTTTATAAGTATAAGCTAGTATTTGCCAATGCATCGATCTTCAATCATGAATGATCAGATCCTGGGACTTCTGACTTTTGCTATCTAGTTATATTCAATAGTTAAGAAAAACATGATTGTTGTTCATGCCTCTATAAGAATTGTAAATGATTTCTAAAGATGAATAAAGTTCCATAATCCCTTAAAATTCAGTGATCCACTTAGTTCAAATTTTCAGCATTTTAAACCAGTCAGATTTATTGTATTGCCCTACATATCTACACTAATACAATTTATAAAGAGCCCATTATCCCATTCTCCTGATGTTAGATGATCTGTTTGGTAAGTTAATGGTTTCAGGGGAATATTGAATCCCTGAATTTATAGTCACTGATTTTTTTTTTTAATATCCACAGTGATTATCTCAGAGACAACCATGCCACTGGAATGAACACACAAACACGAATCTTACCCTTCCAAGACAGATTTTATTCATGCACTGCTCCCCTGAGAACTGAAAGGGCCATATTACTTCTTAAAACCACAATAACTGGTTTTTGAGCTAACTTTGAAATTTGCAAAGAAAAGGAGCCCATAACAAATTTCCTCTCCATCATGTTGAGCTGAGAATAGAACAGGTTCATTTTCATTCCAGGTTTGCCCTCAAACCCCCTCATTTACAAAGGCAGCCCTGCAATACCGCATCTGGAACTAGATGCTTTTCTTTCACAGTGCCCTGGAAAGACCTAGTTTCCACAAAGAGAGAAAATGTGCCAGCTAAATGCTGACAGGTCTTGAAAGATTGCAGTCGTTTTTCGGGTGTTGTTAGGATAGCCTTACTTTTTAAATTCTCCTATTATTTAAAAAAGGAAGTGTTTTGTTACAACACCTGTTCACTATTAACTATGCCAGTGAGTCTGCTAGAATGCTTTCAGAAGGAAATCCTTGCTATATGAAGAAGGGTCATTTCTTGTCTCAGTGCTGGATAGCCCGGAAGACCTAGAAAAGAAACGGATCTGCCGCATCATCACCCGTGACTTCCCACAGTACTTTGCAGTGGTGTCTCGCATCAAACAGGACAGCAACCTGATTGGCCCAGAGGGAGGCGTGCTGAGCAGCACAGTGGTACCCCAGGTGCAGGCCGTCTTCCCAGAGGGGGCACTAACCAAGCGGATCCGTGTAGGCCTACAGGTATGCCCACATCAAGATGCAAGTTAACCGAACATGGATTTTATTCCAGTGATTAAAAATCAACTTTTCAAATGGGAATTAAATGGTTAAAGAATCAAATTATTCCTGGGTGAGCAAAAGCTGCCCTAGGAGATCATATGTCTCATAAAGTTTTAGATGAGTGTTTGGTAACAGTAGTAAACTTTCAGTTGCCATATTTGAAGCCAGAAAACTGATTTATGAAATAAAGAGCAATGCATTAAGAAATTTGACATGGAATATAATCATATATTGTTTATTTTAATTTTTTTTTCTTTTAAAAGGCTCAACCTATGCACAGTGAGTTGGTTAAGAAGATCCTAGGCAACAAAGCTACCTTCAGCCCTATAGTCACTTTGGAACCTAGAAGAAGAAAATTTCACAAGCCAATTACCATGACCATTCCTGTCCCCAAAGCTTCAAGTGATGTCATGTTGAATGGTTTTGGGGGAGATGCACCAACCTTAAGATTACTATGCAGCATCACAGGTGAGTCACATGTGACTACTGTAGTAGAAAGTTCTGAAAGAAGAAACTTAGATTGTCGTAAATATTAAATTACTTTGGTCGTAAGATGCCTGTAAGGTTATATGCATTAATTCAGGAAAGGCACTCTAACTAGGGGAAAGGAAATGAGCTAATATTTACTAAATAAAGCCTGTATGCGAAACTTTTAGACACTTCATATACGTTGTTGTTTTTATCTCCACAGTAGCCCTGTGAGGAAACTTTAATCCTATTTTGCTGAAAAGGAAACCAAGATTGAGAGAAATTCTATAACTTGCCTGAGATTATACCGTAAATATCTAGCAGAGTTGAGATTCAAACCCAAGCCCATATTCCTCAAAACCCAAGCTTTAAGCCTTCTTTGAAGACATCATCCTATACCTGTTGAAAAATAAATAATATCTTGAATAATTATACCCAATAAATCAAACTTTTCTATCCAGGAATTGGTTATGTCTTTATCATTGATGTGCTGAACTAACTTTGGAAAAACAAAATGAAGGTTTTTAATGATTAACTGAATATTGGTCTTTTCAATTGGAAGTTGTAATAGCTTTCAGTCAGCTACCAAACTCCAGAAAGACATTCCCAGAATATTGGTTGTCTCTGCCAATAATACCACCACAAATGGTGAGAGGTGAAAAATCCACACAAGTAACCTGTGTTAGAACTACACAATTTGGCTGGTAATTTCCCTAATTAACAATAACTACATGGTATTGGCTTTCAGTAAATATTCATACTGTTGTCAGTAGGAATAATGACCATCTCTGCTTGCTTAAGTATTGTTAGAATTTTTTTTTCATTTCTCCTTCATATTAGCAGAAATGTTTACCCTTTTTTTATTCTCTCTTTCATTCTTCCTTATTAATGTTTTTTCTGTACTCTTGATAGCGAATCATTGAGACTTTACCGCATAAGTTTAATAATATGACATAATTTTAACGTACGTGGACTAAAATGAGGGTAGTGGGAAATCATATGCTTCACCTATGGCCTCTTCCCAATGACTCATTTCTGGTTATTACATAGCATTCCTGGGTGTCTTTCCCATACTTTTTGGTCCATGTGTATATGATTAACCTTCCTACAATGTGCAGCATAATAGTGTGGATGCAAAACAAGTCAGATTGAAAAATGTCCATGGCACATCCTGCCCTTATAGATGATAAAATGGAGATACCACCTGGGCCTAGGCACCATCTGATCTAGTTATTCCAGCCCTCTGTCTTTGGATGGATTTGTAGTAAAGAATTTCTTTAATTTATCTATTAATTTTTACAAATATGTTAACCTAGGTGTTTGGATTTTTGTGTTTTGCTCGGTTATATTTTATTGTTCTGCTTACAGTGTGTATTTTAGAGGCCTCCAAGAATAAGTCTCCATGACCTTTGTTTGATAACTCATTCCCTTCTTTAAGAAACCTTAGTCAAAATTGGTTTTCATCTCAAACATATATTTCTCCTGCAGTGCTTGAAGACAGTTTTTTCCTATCTATGCCAACTTAATTTCTCAGTAGAAATAAAAGTCAGCATCACCCTCCATAGTGATTTGTCTGTGCACAGAGGTCATCCTTTGGCATTCAGTCATTTGCTCATTCACTTTGCAGTATTTATTGAGCTCTTAATATTTTCCAAGCACTTTTTTTGCCAGCCTTCAATTACAAATTGAGAGGAAGTTTTCTTTCTTGAAAATAATTTCATAAAATATGAAGTTAAAGAACAAAAGAATATTTGGATTTTTGTTTTAACGAAGCATTCGGCTCCTTGGTTGGTCAAAGGATCTTTTAAAATCATCAATTGTATATAATTCAAAGTTATCTTCAGAGCCTCGCAATTACAATCAAATCTTTAGAATGTCAGCAGAGAATAGAGTGCCTAGTAATTTGAAGCAGTTATTCAAATGACCTCCCTTAAATTTAGTTCCATGAAGTGTGGTGTTTGCTGTTTGTTTTCAATGCGTCATTTTTTAGCATACGGTTTTTAGTCATTTTGCTTCCAATGTGTCATCTTGAAGGGTGAGTGAACATAGCTACTACCACAAAGACTTTATTTTACAATGCAGGGTCTGGAGTTTTGCCTAATTTTTTTCAACAATCATATTATTTCAGGTGGAACCACCCCTGCTCAGTGGGAAGATATCACAGGAACTACGCCATTAACATTTGTCAATGAATGTGTTTCCTTTACAACCAATGTGTCTGCCAGGTATGGTTATACTGCACAGAAAAACCTACTGTGAAATGCCCCCGGTGTCTTTTATTTTGTTCCTTACATTCTTTAAAAGTCATTTTTTTTGGTATGGTTATAAATATGGTCTGCATTTACCTTCATATTATAAACGAGACCTGCCAGTAAATGTAATAGTGATAATGCAATAACAAAGTACAGCCAGTCAGATTAAAATCTAAAGAAAATAAATGATTGTTGGCTATTACAGTATGACCCAGACTCTGGTTTTAGCAGCCACTGCTGATTTTTCCAGTCCCAAAGGTCTTAGGAATGATAGATTTCCTGTTGTCAACAAAATAGCCTGAACTACTTTTTCCAACAGAATGATAACCAAAACACAAAGCATATCATGGTTTGCTTAAACAGTTTAGAGGTTTCGGTGATGCTTATGCATCATAGCACATTTACATATTGCCACTTATATATCACACATCTTTAAAAAGCTTAAGCTATTTAGTTTTATTGCATGTGTATACACTAACTCAGTTTATTAATATGAGTTCTCATTTGCATGATCGTTAATAGATTGCCAAGCATTTTCCCATTTATTTAATTTGATTACTACAACAACTTTTCGACTTAGGAAGGGCAAGAAGCATTATGTCCATTTTACAGATGAGAAAACTGAAGTTGAGAGTGGTTAAAGCTTAAGTTCTTATTCGGGGGGAAAAAAGATAGATGCATAAATAACAGTGCACAGCAATAGATGGGTGTGGTGACACATGTTTATAGTTCGAGCCACCCAGAGGGCTCAACTTTGAGTCTCCGGTTCTATGTGTCAGTGTGCCCTGCCACTCAGGCATCCACGTTCTAATGCCAGAAAATGACAAGTTCTGAATGGAAAGGTACAAAAGAGGTACTAAAAGAATTCAGAGGAGGGTGTTTGCATCAGGGTGGTCACAGAGGATGTCTGAGAAGAGGTGACTCATGAGATAGGTAGGAACCTAACAGGCAGATATATAAAAGTGGAAAAGATGGTAACATGAGCAAAGATGCAGAAGGGCATTGGGAGCTGGCAACAGTGGAGTCTATAATTCAGCAATAATGCCGGAATGTTGGTTAACAACATTATTTACAAAAGGCCTTCTAGGATAGACCAGGAAATCATGAGTTATTATGTTATTGTATTAATAATTTAAGTTTTTCAGACAATTGAAGAAGCAGTGAATAAAGTATAGTTCAGTCAGTATAAAGAGGAAGGTAATGTTGAGTGCCTGCCGAGAGCCAGGAACTATGCTGAACCTTCAACACACTATAGTAAATGAAATAGGCCAGACCCAAAAGGACAGGTGTTGCATGTAAATGAAGTACCTAGAACAGGCACATTTATAGAGACGGAAAGTTTAATAGAGGTTAGCAGGGGCTGAGGTGAAGGGGAAAGTTTGAAGTGATTGTTTAATGGGTACAGTGTTTGTGTTTGGGATGATGAAAAAGTTCTGGAAATGGAGAGTGGTCATATTGCACAGTATTGTAAACATACTTAATGCCAATGAATCGCACCCTTAAGAATGGTTAAAATGGTAAGTTTTATATTACGTATATTTTATCACAATTAAAAAGAACAAGAAGAGAGATGGGTCAGGAACTGAAGGAAAGAAAGGCTAAGAAGATAAGGAAATCTCAGAATACCTAAAGATTTTGGGCAATGAGTTGGGGGAAGGAGAGTGGTCATAGATGGAGAAAGGTTTCAAAGTAAGAGGATGTGGAATAAATCTTTGAAGTGTATGAATAGCAAATTGAGAGAATGGCCATCTGATCATCTCTGCTTTCTCAGTGTAGTTACCTTTCTGAGGGTCTGAGGTGAGGGGGAAGGTCCAGGGGTATCATAAAGGTTTAGCACCATTACTGTACTGAATAAAATGGTATCTGAGGGGGGCTTCCTTGGTGGCGCAGTGGTTGAGAGTCCGCCTGCCGATGCAGGGGACACGGGTTCGTGCCCCGGTCCGGGAAGATCCCACATGCCGCGGAGCGGCTGGGCCCGTGAGCCATGGCCGCTGAGCCTGCGCTCTGCAACGGGAGAGGCCACAACAGTGAGAGGCCCGCGTACCGAAAAAAAAAAAAAAAAGGTATCTGAGGAAGAAGTTGCCAAAATATGTCACAGATTTAGGTGAGGCTAGAAATCATAAATTAGTCACAAAGCTAATAGTTTCTTCTATTAATTGTATTAAGCAATACTTAGGAGTTCTGAAGCAAAAGCAGATTTTTTTTTTAAGTGGCTGGGTTGATCCAACTTTGGTGACTGTGAGTCCTTTGGAAAAGAATGATGGAATGAGGAAAAGAGCTAGGTAGATTTTGTTGAAAAGAGTTTCAGGAAATGAAATGAACAGGAGGGGCAATCATGGAAAATAGAAACTCATCCAGTGAGATACTTGTCGTAATATCCAATACTGGGCTTATAGCACTAAAGGATTCTAAACACTGAAGCTCTATTTCAGGAGATTGCATACTCAGAAGAGTTTCCAAGGGAAAAAATTACAAACACAGTATTTAATAGTTGACCTTAAACACCTGGTACCTCTTTTTCTCTTCCCCTCACCTGCTTCCTCCTTCCCATCTATCCTCCTACCTTTCCTCCCTTCCCTATCTTTCTTTCCCTTCCTTTTTACTTCCCCTCATTATCTCCCCTTCTTGCTCCCTTCTTTTTCCAAGAAGCATTTAATGATTACTTTGATCATATTGAAGGAACGGACTTGGTTTTCATGCAGTTGGCCTTCCTTATTCATAGTCGTGGAGCCCACTGATACAGAGGGCTGACTGTATTCCACCATTTTAAATAAAGGACTTGAGCATCTGTGGATCTTGGTATCTGTGGAGTTCCAGGAACCAGTCCTCCATATATACCGAGGGCTAACTGTATGTTAAATTTCAGATAACTGACCTTATTTTATTTTATAGGTTCTGGCTGATAGATTGTCGACAAATCCAGGAGTCCGTTACCTTTGCATCACAAGTGTATAGAGAAATTATTTGTGTACCATATATGGCCAAATTTGTAGTGTTTGCCAAATCACATGACCCCATTGAAGCCAGGTTGAGGTGTTTCTGCATGACTGATGATAAAGTGGATAAGACGCTTGAACAACAAGAAAACTTTGCTGAGGTGGCCAGAAGCAGGGATGTGGAGGTACTGTATTTGTAAAACCAATTTTTGTTAATATGTTGTTTATACCTTTATTAATAAATTATATTTAAAATAGTATACCATAAATAGAGCCATCAAAAAAAAGACCAGTCAATATCTTGATCAGTTAGAAGGTCAGGGTCTAAAATCAGCCATTTTTAGCCAGTTTGGACCTATTCAATTGGGATAGTCTCAGTGTGAGGAGGTAAAAGGACTCTTAAAGATTATTGTGGGAAAAATTATATGTCATTGATAAATTCAAAGTATGTAAATGAATATACATATACATATACATATATACTTACACCAGGGAGTGCTGGTACATGCTTTGTCACAGATAAGACCAAATGTCAGCCAGGAGTTTAAAGATTATTGTATGCACATTTTAAGAATTTTAATGTTCCAGGTAATACCACCACTTCTTCATGTAAATAACAAGTAATAATTGCAGCTATTATATTCTGTGTTGTTTTTCTCTATTTCCACCAGGTATTAGAAGGAAAACCCATCTATGTTGATTGTTTTGGCAACCTGGTGCCATTAACCAAGAGTGGCCAACATCATATATTCAGTTTTTTTGCCTTCAAAGAAAACAGACTCCCTCTCTTTGTCAAGGTAATATATACATGGAACTTTGTAATGCATTTAATTCAAGATCAAGTAAAGCTTTGACTTCCTTTAGTAGAAGAAAATATTTGCTTTTCAGTCATTTCCAGTGATTTTTTTAAACCATTTCTGTAAAATTTTCAAGTCCTAGAAAACCAACCATTTTTAAAAATTTCAACCTTAAATTTTAGTTATAGACTATGTTTATGGCTAAGAATGAGGCACAAATAGCCAATTCATTAATTAGAAAAACTGGCCATTCTTTTCCAAATTTTGAGAGAAGTCTCTCTCTCTCTTTTTTTTTTTTACTATTATTTCTTTTAAATATTTGTGCTTAAATTTTTAAAACATGTGATTTCACAATTGTAGAGACCAAAAGAGTTCTTAGTGACAAATTTTTGTAATAAAAAGCTCTCAAAAGACCAAGGATCTCACTTAATCTATTAAGAGATTATCCCAGATAGAGCTATAGACTGGATATACTTTCATAAATTCATTCAACAAACATTTATGGAGACACTTCAGTGTACCATAAATTTGTCGTCCCTCTTTAGGAATATTAATCCACGTTAGGAATTTGGCAGTAACAAGTTTTGTCCTAGATTCCCAGTTCTAAAGAGGGACAAAAATGGATATGAGTGAGAGATTTGTGAAATTGAAGTAATAATTCTATTTAAGTTTTAATAAGTCTGTTAAGTTTTCTCAAGATCTCTACTGCAGGCTTTCATTGTGCCACTTCTGGTTCAGTTGTTTTGCCTGATTAAAGAAAGGCTCTTACAGATCACACATTAAGCACTAACTGCTGAGGGGCGATGGATCCATTTAACACAAACAGCTGTATAATTGTGCTAATATTTGATATTATTGATGTGCAAAAGTCATTTTATAACCAACACAATACAAAAATAGGAAAACGACTTAAATAAACATTTCTCCAAACAAGATATACAGAGGGCCAATAAGCACATGAAAATATGCTCAACAGCTTAAGTAAATTCAAACTAAGACCACAGTGAGATCCCACTCCATACCCATTAGGTTGGCTATTATCAAAAACAAACAAACAAATAAACAGAAAATAACAAATGTTGGTAAGGATGTGGAGAAATTGGGATCCTGATACATTGATTGCTGGTGGGAATGTAAAATGGTGCAGCCACTGTGGAAAACAGTATGGCAGTTCCTCGAAAAGTTAAACATAGAATTAGCATATGATCCAGCAATTCCTGAAGAATTGAAAGCAGGGACTCGGTTACTTGCAATGTTCATAGCAGCATCTTCCCAGTAGTCAAAAGGTGGAAGCACCCCAAATACCCATCCACAGATGAATGGATATTATTCATATGGAATATTCAATGGAATATTATTCAGCCTTAAAATGAGTGAAATTAGCCAGACACAAAAGACAAATATTGTATGTTCCCACTTATATGAGGTACCTAGAGTAGTCAAATGCAGAGTCAGAAAATAGAATGGTGGTTACCAGGGGATCGGGGAAGGAAGGAATGGGAAGTTAATGGAAACGGCTTCAGTTTGTGAAGGTGAAAACGTTCTGAAGATGCATGGTGGTAATAGTTATACAACAGTGTGAATGTACTTAATGCTACTACACTGTGCATGTAAAAATGGTTGAAATGATGTTTTATGTATAATTTAACACAAACTTTTAAAAAGAACGAAATTCTGATATATGTTGCAACGTGAATGTATAACTCTACCTATACGAGGCACTTAGAAGGGGCAAACTTATAGCAACAGAAGGTTGAACAGAGGTTACTAGGTGCTGGGAGAGGAGTAGAATGGGGAATTACTGCTTAACGGGTACAGAGTTGCTGTTTGGGATGATGGAAAATTCTGCATAGTAGTGATGATTGCACAACTTTGTGAATGTGCTTCATGACACTGAATTGTATGCTTGAAAATGGTGAGTGTATAAACGAAAATGGTAAATTTTATGTTATGTATATTTTACCACATTTTTTTAAGCTAAATGATTTTTTTTAACCATTCTAAATGACAATAGGAAAGGGGAAAAGGAACACCTCCAAATCCTTATTTAGCATTATCTAATGATTTTTCCTGATTCTTTTGAGTATCATCTCATTAAAATAAATAGTGTGCATCATATGGGTGAAGCATGTATGCCTTTCTTGTTCAAGGTACGTGATACAACTCAGGAACCCTGCGGACGACTATCATTTATGAAAGAGCCAAAATCTACAAGAGGCCTGGTGCATCAAGCTATTTGCAACTTAAACATCACCCTGCCAATTTATGCGAAGGTATTGTAATCTGCTGTAGTGCAATTCAGAGAGTATAGCATTTGATTTTCAAATTCTTTAAAATAAATAAAAGCAAAGACACTGAATGCAACCATATATAACAGTCATTTTTGATACCCTGTCCAATTTATGATTTTCCATTTAAGTAAGGGAAAAAGTAGCTCTACCTTATTTCACATTAAATTCACTTTGATGGAAAGTTTTCTGTAAATACATATTGGATATGGAAGAGAGAAAATTCAAATTTAAGATTTAATTTTTTGGACTAATTTTTAAAAATTAAATAGTTCACTTTGCCTTTCTTATTGTTTTTATGTGCCCTCCTGGCACCATACTAGTACATTTCACCCTACCGAAACTTTATGAGTCTATTAGCTTCGGTTTACTACCATTTCACAGGTGGATTATGTATTATGAGATTCAGAGCAACAACAGGATATTTTACCTTGTTGCTAAAATAATTATTTGTTCATCTTGTAACCTATACTGTTTTAGGAGCATCAAATTAATTTTTCAAGTATTTTAACATGATTAGTATATAAAATACTCGCATGTTATAGGAGTAGATTTGAAACATGGTTGAAAGGAAAATTCATTAATTCTTGACCCAAATCTACCTACAGGTATTACTTTCTAGTCAAACCTCTCCCCATTATAGAATTCTTTGATTACTCTGATCAAATCAAAGAAGGCAAGGGGGATGAATTAAATGTTGGGGAGAACTTTATTTATTATTAAAAAAAATTTTAAGCAGTACCCCTTTCCTTTTAATGGAAAGCTCCCACATGGCAATTTATAGGAGGTTATAGCAAGTGATCAGTGTGAATTTTAGAGGTTGGGAAGTGGGATGAGTAGTGGCAGGTGAGACCTGGAGGAGAGGTAGAAGTATATTTAAAATTCTAAATCTTGACTCTGCAAAACAAAACATTTCCTATACTTCTTTTTATTTACCACAGTATATTTTTCTTACTTAATTATTCTTATAAATTAGAGATCAGTCACATAGAGATAAGCATGTAGTGTCATGTTTAACATTGTAAATTCTTATTAAATGATAAAACTTAAATGAAATACCAGTATCTGTTTACATAAATTTACATATTATTCCAAGAATTAGAATACAGCAATAGGTATATTGATCCAGTAAGTGGACTGTAATTGCACTCCAATGGTACAGAATGTACTTTGGGGTTTGTACTGCTGATCACTTTTGAGTCACCGAAGCAGAATACCAAATAAGAACCACGAAGAAATATGTACTGCTGGGACGATCCACCTAAGTGATATGTAAAGATGAACGAGCTTTGTCTCTGATTTCAGTGAGCTTTCAATGTGCTATAAAAGAAAGCATTTAGTTTATTATTACTTTTTACTTTTAAGTCAAGATGTATCAGACACAGTTATTAATGCTGTGATGGTCCAGGACAACTTTCCATTTAGTAACTCAAAACAAAAGAAAACATTGCCAAACAGTGTATAGTTCAGATATATTTTAGAACTTAGTAGCTCTTAATTATAATAGAACTCCTAAATATTGCCTGTGTATTGAAAATATTTTCACCATATGTTTATTTGTGGCTTTTAACATTTTTAGCCAATATCTGTAATGGCTGAGATATTGTCATCACCATTTCTGTAGACATATGCCATCAAATCCATTAAACGTCAAACTTTGAGGCTGCTGGTAACGGAGCATCTGAAATTAGTATATTTATAATTTTAGTTCTTTTGTCTAGTAGATTAGTCTATTTATAATCTTGGTTCTTTTGTCTCTTGAATCTACAGACATTTGCATTTAAATCAATCTTCTTTAATTTTTGTGCTTGTTTTCTGTACACTGTTAGTAAGAAAAAATACGAGTACGCTGACGTATGCTTACCTATTGATATCTGTTGTCAGGGTATTTAGTCTTGTCTTTTCTTCTAAATACTCTCCACTCTTCCTGCTCTCTTTTTTCCATCTTGCATGGCATCTTGGGGCGGCAAGGAATCAGAGTCAGATCAAGAACAGGAGGAAGAGGTAATTGTGTGGCATTGTCACTTGTTAATGGCTGTGTTACTGCTATAACCACTGATAAGAGCACATGGTTACCTGTGTCTTAGAAGGGTTACACCGTTGTCCTTAGTAATTAAAGGGTCACGATCTTACTTAACCTCTCTGAGCCTGTTTTCTCATCTTATGGACTGATTTCAGAGGACAGTAATATTTCCCTATAAATTGTTACCTGTCTTTATGCAGCAATATAGATTACCAACAGCTGAAGACCAAAACCATTATCTCAGTGGTTCTCAAAGGTTGGTCTGGAGATGTCTGGAGGTCAAAACTCTTTCCTTAATATTACTGAAACATTTTTTGCCTTTTAGCTCCCATATCCTCAGAAGCTACATAGGAGTCTTCCAGAGGCTCCATTACATGTGATGACATCATCACCCTGACACTCTGGAATGTGTGCTTGTGTATACTTGGGTTCTTGTATATTCTCAGCTTTCATTTGTAATACAGATATTTATTTATATATGTTAAACAGAAGTTCTTCAGACTCCTCAGTATTTTTTTAGGAGTGTAAAGGGGGGTTAATAAAAAGTTTGACAACCACTGAAATAAAAAACTTTAAGGAGCATATAGTTCATCCATTTGACTATACTAATATTATAATGCAGAACTCTACATATAATGAGCACTTCTTATAAGGTAGATTCTTTACTAAGTGCTCCACATACCCCACCAACACTGATCTGACAATCACCCTATGAGGTGTGTGCTATCATATCATAGATGATATGTGACAGATGAAGAAAATGAGCCTTAGAGAGGTTACCTTGAATAAATATCCATTTGAACTATACCTGCTTCGATAGTCAAAGCAAGTATGTGTTTGTTTCCCTTGTAAAGGTCTGAAAATGCCCAAACATTATCATAGAAATGAAAGAAATCATTGGAAAAGTCCTTACACTTAACTGATTAACATATTGCTTCCTGTTTCTAAGATAGACAAATGGAATTGTTATTAGTTGCACATAAATGTTGTCAAATATACTAATTTTATTTTTTAATGTTATTCTGTTGGATTTAAACTAGAAAACCATAAAGAAAAACATAATAAACACCCTTGTACTCACCAGCTTAAAATGTAAGGCCTTATCAGTTCATAGACTGCCCCTGAATTCACTTCTTTACCGATACCCAGGCAGTGGGGCAGGATGAGAGGGGTGATTATAGACTCATTGTCCTGCCATGTATAACCAGATACACAATAAACTTACGACAAGACTGAAGTCATTTTTTCTCTCAGCTGTGCAGTCACTCTTTGTCTCTCATATTCAATTTCCTTTCTGTAGTTGGTGACTCAATCCCCAAGCTATTCAAGATGATACGTGCATACCTTGTTGAAAGAGCAACACAATTATGAAACCAACTTTGCTATGTTCAAATGAATTCTTCCGTTAGGCTTATGATTTTTCTAATGAGTATTTTCAGGAACTATTCAGGGCTACAGATCCAGTTTGTATTCTTTTCAGGATTTGGAATTCTGGCTTATAACTAATAATGAAACTACTTCTGTAGAATGTAACACCCTGGCATGCTCTTTGTTCTTTCCTTTCTCTCAACTAAACTGACACTTACTGTTTAAAACCTACTTCACTTTTTTCCTGGCCTTTTCCGTAATATGTATTTCTAACATCAAACACACCTGCATCATACCTTCCCAGGAGTAACATGTTAGAAAGGACTTTCCACCCATAGTGTCTAGAAAGGAGATTTGTTTTTTCAAAGTTAGGATAAGAATCAGAGACTCTAGGGAAGAATGGTAGCAAATTACTCTGACCTTCCTCTAGCTTATGGCATTTCCCACGTATATAAAATAGGAGCTTACTGTACACATCAGGGGCTGTGAGGCAAGATGCTATTTGTAACCATTCAATTTATGTATGTTTTCTTTCAGATCGATATGACATCAGAAAAAAGTAAGATTTCAAATAAAATTGAGTTTGTTTGAAAGCTGGCTACAATAAAGAAAAGCATGAATCAAGATGCAAGCTAGTTGCCATTACTAACAACTATAATAATTATGTTTTTATATTATCCTTATTAATCATTAATATTTATTTAGAAAAGCAGCTTGGCCAGTTAAATTATGAATATATCTAATTTGTGAGCTAATTAGCAGTAAAATGCAATGATTATTCATCTAAGCATTCACTTTCTTTTAGATCCCTGTTAACCCTGCTATTGCTGTTATGCTTGTTTAGAAACCCACCCTACCGTTTTTGTCCATTTGTTAGCATAATATTGTCATCTCATTTTTTTAAGCTCTGACATGACAGTATCACTTTTTATATCAAGCAACAACTGACATCAGTAGAGAGCTCATTATTTATGTAGGCTACACCTGCAAAAGTGATACTGTCTTAATAGTTTTCAGCTAAAGCTAACTCTCCCCTCACCCCACCCCGACCCCTACCCCTTACACCTCTTACTGTGGTGAAGTATAACTGACTTTTCTAGGGCTGAGGTCTAATGGACTTTTGTGAAAACTTTCTGAAAAAATTAAGAACCAGAAAAGCAAAAATTAAAACCTCCTGGATGAAATTATTAATCACAGCAGTATGTCATAATAGTGCTAATTTTAAATAATGATTCAAAGCCTAAACGTAATCTAGTACAAAGAGAACTGGATTTTACAGACTTTGAGAGAGCTATCTTAGAGTTCATTTCAGGTTTGTAACAGTCAATTAAATTTTTAGTTTGTTGGACTGTTTCTGGTGACTCTAGCTTCTTATGTGGAAGAACTTGAGTTTTTCAGGTTTCCTTCTTGCTTTTATGCCCCAAATGCTCTAGAAAAAAATCTAATTTTTAATGTTTATTCATTTTAAGATTTATTTTGATTCACTGTATTTCAGGGTGCTATTCCCAAAAGAAGAAAACTTAGAACCATGTTTAATATGGTCATCAGGCCCTATGCAATAATTATCAGGCTTTTTTTTTTTCCCCCTTCTTTTGAAGTCCTAGCACAATGTAATTTACTGTTAAGTTATTGAAATACTTTTAAATGAGAGTCTCCTTACCCTCATGTTAAATCATTATTCAGGACTAGAATATTTGAAATTCTGGATGTTTTCATTGTTTTATATCTGAACAAATCTGTATTGATATAAATTAGTTTAATATATCTTTGTATATGCATTTCACATAGTATAGCTCCTCAACATATACTGATTCTCTCAAGAGAAGGCATTTATGTTTATAAAAAAATTTACATTATCATTGCCTTCATTAACTCCTTTTTTTAAAGAGATTTTATTATCCCACTTTCTTCTCTGGGACTACGATGTTTATTTAAATGGCCCTTTGTTCCTTGGATACAAGCTAGTAGGAATTAAAAATTCATCCATCTGGCTCAATCATTTTTAAAAAGTTACTATATTGCTATAATGTCATAGATCCTCCTGAATGACTCCCAGGTATTGTGACTGCTTTAAAAGTTTCAAATATAGACTCATGTTTGGTTTTCTTTTAGTATAAAGACAATCATAAAATAATCTTCAACCAGGCATGAAATAATCTCCAAAGGAGGGCTCTGTTGAAAGGACTCTTTCCTAAGGTCTTTTCAAGAGTAAATCCTAAAAGAGTTTGAGTTTTCCCCCTTGCCTTTAATGGGTGCAGGCCCCCACTACCTATGCCTCAAACATACTGCATCGAGCATCTTGTATGTGGACTTTTAGGGAAGTAAATACACTTCACCACAGTAACGTTTTCCATATTTGTTCTAATTTCTTACCATTCTCCTGCCTGCACATTTCAGCAAGGCCACCTCTCCCACCAGTTTTATTCCACCTTTGCTTTGCATGGAAATAACTTGGCTTACATAAACTGTGCGTGTGTCCTGTGTGACTGTCTCTGATTTGGGTTGCCATGCATCACATTTTAACTTTGGACTCACATATAAGTTTAATCACAATCGTTGTTTTTGTTGTTTTTCTTTCCTTTCCTTTCTTTCCCTCCTTGGTCTGTCCATTACGTGTCTAAACAAGGAGGTTGCTCCAAGGAAAGGACCATGCCTCTCAGCACAAGACTGTTTGTTTTGTTGTTGGTGTGAATTTCCCTTAGATGAAATGCCGGTTTGCAGCTGATTCAGATATATTTTATATAGTCATTGTATATTGGCAGAACTAAATATACTGAATTCCAGATTTTTGTATGATTAAATAATGTCTATACATCATTAGACGATATTCTGAGTTTGCTACTACTGGCTTTCTCCTAGAGGAAATCAACTTTCTGCAATTTCTAATGCTTTTTTCCTTTTTTTCCCATGTTCATCTTTTTTCAACATTGGTCTGTAACATCTGAACAATCTTGAGATATCTCTGTGTAATTTCACTGCGTTCGTTCTTTGTTTTGTGATTTTGTGTGTGTCTTGATTAGTTGTGACAGTTTTGTTGTATGTGTGGATGTGCTACAAGTGAGAAAATTAAGCAAGTTATTTCCTGCTCATTTTTCCTTTTCAGTTTTTTTTCCGTTAGCCTTGCTTTGCTTTTGTATCCTGAGACCTTGTGGATCCACCATTCCCAGCCCATTTTTGTTGTTCCACCCGCCACAACAGGAAAAGACACTGTGTCGTTTCAGTCCTGATTACATTTGCCAATATCTTTTTTGATTTCCATTTTACTTTCAATGTTTTTCATTCACATCAAAGATGATGAGACAGAATCTACAGAAACATCTGTCCTGAAAAGTCACCTGGTTAATGAAGTTCCTGTCCTAGCAAGTCCGGACTTGCTCTCTGAAGTTTCTGAGATGAAACAAGATTTGATCAAAATGACTGCCATCTTGACCACAGATGGATCCGATAGGGCAGGTTCCCTCAAAGTGAAGGAGCTGGTGAAGGCTGCTGAGGAAGAGCCAGGGGAGCCTTTTGAAATTGTTGAAAGAGTTAAAGAGGACTTAGAGAAGGTGAACAAAATCCTGAGAAGCGGAACCTGCATGAGAGATGAAGACAGTGTGCCAAGGTCTCAGCCAGAGAGAGAATTAGTGGAAGAGGAATGGGTTATTGTCAGTGATGAGGAAATAGAGGAGGCTAAGCAAAAAGCATCTTTAGAAATCACCGAATACCCATGTGCAGAAGTTAGAATAGAGAAAGAGACCAAAGAAAAAGTAGAGAAAGACTCAACAGGGCTAGTGAACTACCTTACTGAGGATCTAAATTCCTACGTGTCTCCTCACAAAGAGCCACCGCAGACAGTGCAAGATCTGGCAGGGGAGAAACGTGAGGCTCTGGGTCCTTGCAGGAGCTCTGAAAGCGAAGGGAAAGCTAAAGAAGCATCTTCAGAGGAGACACAGAGTACACAGAAACAGCCCAAACCAAGCCTGGGCATAAAGAAGCCAGTGAGAAGGAAATTAAAAGAAAAACAAAAACAAAAAGAGGATAGTTCACAAGCTAGTGCAGAAAAAACTGAACTTAAAAAAGGTAGTTCAGAAGAGTCATTAGATGAGGACCCAGGTTTAGCCCCCGAGCCTCTTCCCCCTGTAAAAGCTACGTCACCTTTGATAGAAGAAACTCCCATTGGTTCCATAAAGGACAAGGTGAAGGCCCTTCAAAAACGAGTGGAAGATGAACAGAAAGGGCGAAGCAAGTTGCCTGTCAGAGTCAAAGGCAAAGAAGATGTGCCAAAAAAGATAACACAAAGGACACATCTAGCTGCATCCCCCTCTCTGAAGTCCGAGAGACATGTGCCAGCATCACCCTCCTTGAAAACAGAAAGACACTCTTCTCTTTCCTCTTCTGCAAAAACTGAGAGGCACCCTCCAGTATCACCAGTGAGTAAAACCGAGAAACACTCACCCTTGTCACCCTCTGCAAAAACTGAAAAGCACTCACCTGTGTCATCCTCAAGTAAAACTGAGAAACACTCACCCTTGTCACCCTCCGCAAAAACTGAAAGACACTCCCCTGTATCCTCTTCTACAAAAACAGAAAGACACCCACCTGTTTCGCCTTCAGGTAAAACAGACAAACGCCCACCCGGCTCGCCCTCTGGGAGAACAGAGAAACATCCACCAGTGTCACCTGGCAGAACAGAGAAACGCTTGCTTGTATCACCAGCTGGAAGAATGGAAAAGCATTCACCTGTCTCAACCTCTGGGAAAACCGAGAAGCACCTGCTTGTGTCACCTTCTGGGAAAACAGACAAGCAACCACCTGTCTCCCCCACCTCAAAAACAGAAAGAATCGAGGAGACAATGTCTGTTCGGGAGTTGATGAAAGCTTTCCAGTCAGGTCAGGACCCATCTAAACATAAGACTGGACTCTTTGAGCACAAATCCGCAAAACCAAAACAGCCACAAGAAAAAAGCAAAGTTCGGGTAGAAAAAGAAAAGGGGCAGATAGTAACCCCGAGAGAAACGCAGAAAATGGAGAGTCAGACAATCAAACGAGGCCAGCGATTCCTGGTCACGGGACCTTCAGAATCCAGAAGAGCGGTCCGTGCTTCCTCCGCAGGGTTTAAGAGAGAAGATGTAGCTGAAGGAAAGGAGAAAGCGCTCAACCACAAAACACCCGAACCTGTTCAGCCAGCACCTGAAGAAGAAAGCCATAAAGATAGTGAAGCCCCCAAAGAAAAGCTGGCTGATGAACAGGGAGACATGGATCTCCAGATCAGCCCAGACAGGAAAACCTCCACTGACTTTTCTGACGTCATTAAGCAGGAACTGGAAGACAATGACAAATACCAGCAGTTCTGCCTGAGTGAAGAGACTGAGAAGGCGCAGCTTCACTTAGACCAAGTGCTCACTAGTCCTTTCAACACAACATTCCCACTAGATTACATGAAAGATGAGTTCCTCCCAGCCCTGTCTTTACAGAGTGGTGCCTTACATGGCAGTTCGGAAAGCCTGAAGCAGGAAGGGGTAGCAGGTTCTCCGTGTGGCAGCCTGATGGAAGGGACCCCTCAGATTAGTTCAGAAGAAAGCTATAAGCATGAGGGCCTAGCAGAGACCCCCGAGACAAGCCCAGAAAGCCTTTCTTTCTCACCAAAGAAAAGGGAGGAGCAAATTGAGGAAACAAAGGAAACTACCAAGTTAAAAACACCACCAGAAATTCATTCCGAAAAAGGACATCCCTCAACCAAAGACGTTACTGATGGTTCTGAAGGGCAAGGTGCTGCAGTCACGGGGGGCACAGAGCCCTCTGCTGAGTGTTTGCTGAAGGAGGTCACCCTAGACCCTTCCAAAGACACATGCCCCCCACAAGAAGGTGACGGCCTTGGCAGTCAAGGTGTATCATTAGCAAAAGAAACATCCGAAGGACTGACTGAGGAAGTGTCCTGTGATGAAGGTCCACTTAAATATGTTAGTTCAGCCCATGAGACACAAATTGATACTGAAGCTCAGGGATCCACAGCCACCAAGCCCTCAGATGAGACAAAGGCCTTGCCGCTGCCTGATGCTGCTGTAAAGACAGGCCCAAGGGCTGAATCAAAGCCCCAGGGAGTCACTAGAAGTCCCCAAGGGTTAGAACTTGCACTCCCTAGCCGTGATAGTGAGGTCCTCAGCCCTGGGGCTGATGAATCCTTCACAGTGAGCCACAAAGACTCCCTGGAAGCCAGCCCAGTGCTGGAGGATAACTCCTCACACAAAACTCCTGATTCTCTGGAACCGAGTCCTCTGAAAGAATCCCCTTGCCATGATTCTCTTGAAAGCAGCCCTGTTGAACCAAAGATGAAGGCTGGAATTCTGCCGAGTCACTTTCCCCTTCCTTCAGCCGTTGCCAAAACAGAACTCTTCACGGAAGTGGCCTCTATGCGGTCCCGGCTGCTCCGAGACCCAGACGGCAGTGCTGAGGATGACAGCCTTGAGCAGACATCACTCATGGAGAGCTCAGGGAAGAGCCCCCTTTCCCCTGACACCCCCAGCTCCGAAGAAATTAGCTATGAGGTCACACCCAAAACCACAGATGCAGGCACCCCCAAACCAGCTGTGATTCCTGAATGTGCAGAGGAGGATGACTCAGAAAGTGGGGAGAGAAAGAGGTTCACACCTGAAGAGGAAATGTTTAAAATGGTAACCAAAATCAAAACGTTTGATGAACTTGAACAAGAAGCAAAGCAGAAAAGGGACTACAAAAGAGAAGCCAAGCAAGAAGAGTCTTCTTCATCCTCTGACGTAGATGTTGACTGTTCAGCAGACATGGATGAAACAAAACACACGGAGAGTGTAGAGGATGAAAGCGATGTCCCTGTGGTTGTAACATCAGAGAGCAGAAAGGCTTCTTCCTCCTCAGAAAGTGAACCTGAGTTGACACAGCTGAAGAAAGGTGCTGACTCAGGCCTCTTATCAGAGCCAGTTATTCAAGTGCAACCCCCTTCCCCACTTCCGTCCAGCATAGACTCAAATTCCAGTCCCGAAGAAGTACAATTCCAGCCTGTCGTTTCCAAACAATACACTTTTAAGATGAATGAAGATACTCAGGAAGATTCAGGTAAATCAGAGGAAGAAAAAGATCGTGAATCTCATTTACCTGAAGACAGTCATACTGTTTCTACTGATGGCCCAGAGATGTCTTATGATGATCTAAACAGAGATGCTGATCAACAAAAACTTTGTGATGACCACGGGTATGAAGCAGGGAGTCCCAGCGGCTCAGCCACTCCTATCTCTTCAGGTCTCCGCAGTTCCACTGGTGATGATGTCAGTGAGCAGCTAGTTACCCATAAGGAATCATTAGCTCTCCAAGACACTGGTGGAAAAGATACAGAAGAAGAAGGGCTTGATGTTTCTGGAGTCGAATCTCCACAAGTAGATTGCCCCAGTGAAAGCTCTTCATCTTTGTCCTCTTTGCATCATTGTCCAGCATCTGAAGCAAAAGAATTAGATGAAGACACAGTCTCCACATCCTCTGCTACAAAAATGGAGGTCACAAAACCTGACCAAGCTTTTGAGAGCTTACCAGAGGACTGGTCCACTCTAGACTCATCCATTACTACTCAAGCTGATAGATCGTCCTTGGATGTTCCATTGTCTGACCCAGTGGAGACTGATGAAATCTCTGATCCTCAAATCATAAGCCCTTATGAAAATGTTCCTTCCCAACCTTTTTTCGCTAGTGAAGAAAGCAAAACCCAAACAGATACAAGACACACAAGTTTTCACTCTTCTGAAGTGTCTTCTGTTACCATCACATCCTCCACTGAAGACGTAGAAGTGACAAGCGCCTCTGGAAGAACTGTTTCAAGTGAAGAGTCTAATTTTGAGGACCAGAACCTGGACGTAGAACCCAAACAAGAAAGTACCTTGTGGGAAATGCAGTCAGATAGAGCCTCCTCATCTTTAGAGCCAACTGTACCAAATACATCAACAGTTGCTGGTGAACAGAGAAGCAAAGTCATCATCACAAAAACTGATGTAGATTCTGATTCCTGGAGTGAAATCCGTGAGGATGATGAAGCCTTTGAGGCTCGAGTGAAAGAGGAAGAACAGAAGATATTTGGTTTGATGGTAGACAGACAATCGCAGGGTACCACCCCTGACACCACTCCTGCTAGGACCCCAACTGAAGAGGGGACCCCAACCAGTGAGCAAAATCCGTTTCTCTTTCAGGAAGGAAAATTGTTTGAGATGACCCGAAGTGGTGCCATTGATATGACCAAAAGGTCCTATGCAGATGAAAGTTTTCACTTTTTCCAAATTGGGCAAGAATCCAGGGAAGAGACTCTCTCTGAAGACATGAGAGAAGGGGGTACTGGTGCTGAGCCCCTACAGCTGGAGACATCAGCTGAGTCATTAGCACTCTTAGAATCGAAAGAAACAGTGGATGACGAAGCAGAGCTACTCCCAGATGACCTGAGTGAGGAAGTAGAAGAAATACACGCTTCAGATGCTCCACTTAACTCCCAAATGGAGATTTCAGCCTCCATTGAAACATCAATGAAAGAGGCAACTTCTGTGGGAGCTGAGGACCTCCCCTCCATGGGAATGGGTGACACACCTCCCCTGTCCAGTGTGAAGCAGACAGCTTGCCCCGACTCCCCTAAACCGGTTGGACAAGTTCAGTTAGATTTTTCCACAGTCACTAGGTCTGTATATGCAGATCGGGGTGATGATTCTCCCGATTCATCCCCAGAGGAACAGAAATCAGTCATTGAAATCCCTACTGCACCCATGGAGAATGTGCCTTCTACTGAAAGCAGGTCCAAAATCCCTGTAAGGACTATACCCACTTCAACCCCAGCACCTCCATCTGTGGAGTATGAGAGCTCCCTTTCTGAAGATTTTCTACCCAGCCTGGATGAGGAAAGTAAACAGGATGAAACAAAACCAAAGTCTAAAATCCCCACGAAAGTGCCCGTCCAAAGAGTCGAGCAGCAGCCTTCGCATCTAGACCTGTCTCTACAGAAAACAGAGGCTCCTCAGGGACAGGACATGACAAGCAGAGCGCCAAGTAATAGAAGCAAACCTGAATCTGATGCCAGTTTGGATGCAAAGACCAAATGTCCAGTAAAAACTAGAAGTTACACTGAGACAGAAACAGAAAGCACAGAGTGGGCAGAGGAGCTTGAGTTAGAATCAGAGGAAGGGGCCACAAAACCAAAGATATTTGCATCCCGATTGCCAGTAAAGAGCAAAAGCACCACATCTTCCTGCAGGGGGCCCACGAGCCCCACAAAAGAAAATAAGGAGCATTTCTTTGACCTTTACAGGAACTCCATAGAATTCTTTGAGGAGATTAGTGATGAGGCTTCCAAGTTAGTGGATAGACTTACACAGTCAGAAAGGGAGCAGGAGTTAGTTTCAGATGACGAAAGTAGTAGTGCCCTGGAAGTTTCAGTAATTGAAAATCTGCCACCTGTTGAGACCGAGAACTCAATTCCTGAGGACATCTTTGACACAAGGCCCATTTGGGATGAGTCCATTGAGACTCTGATTGAACGCATCCCTGATGAAAATGGCCATGACCATGCTGAAGGTATTTGCCAGCCACTGGGATTCCCTGTGCTACGCATGTCATAAATTTGATATAGTTTTTTTGTGTGTCTGTTTTATTTGGTGATTTGTGTCTCATTTTCTTTAAGCTTTCTGTAGTGGTTACTATGTTTGTGTAAGCCCTTTGTGTTTTGTGCTTTCTCTGTATACTCTTGTCTGTGGAAACAATCTCAAGATTGAGTAATGAGAATGCTTATGGAAAACATAAACATGATCGACAGGCAACGGGGATCTTGCCTTTTCTCTAGCTGCTGCACGTGACGCCATGCAAGCTTTGAGTTTTGTTGTTCTGACGTTCCAGGCTTAGCCTTAAATTAAGCATACGGATATATTTGGTTTTGTTTCATATTATGAGGATTCATTGCTTTTTCTAATTACCTTTGAGTACTTTAATAAGTACTTAACAATTTTATAATGATTAGGAAGCCGTTTACACAAGAAGATTTCACATACCATGAAATTCTAATTGTTGAGGATTTGTTTTTGATTCAGAAAGGTTGGATTTCAGATACCATTGGTAAACACTTTAAGCAAACAATCATAAGGTAAAAACATGCTTTTTCATTTATGTGGCAGATGAATGGAGAATGGACTCTGATTAGATGCAGCAGACAACAAAAACTCAAACTTTGCATGATTTAAGTTGACTGTGAGGGGATGATGGCTCTTTGAATTATAAAAAAAGGAAACCATAGATGGCTTTGAGAAGTAGCCTCTGGTCTTCCAATATCTCTACAATAAAGACTATTATTCTTAAATTTGGGTTATAAAAAAATGACCATGACCTAAAATGCTGCCCATCAATTAATGGGGGTTAAAAATCAAAGGGAAAATTATAGTCTGTGGGAGTATTATATGAGCTTACTTAGTAGTAAGCAGACAGAAACTTTGCCCAAAAGACAATATAACATACACATACATATACATACGCTTTATTCTTCCTTCTTCCAAGGTTACCAGAACCAAGATAAATGTTGTTTCTGGCCATACTAAAAAAAGCCAGGATGGTCTGATCAACCCATGATCTCGGTCTCTTGTGAATCTCGGATGTGATTTCTTTGCAACATGACCCAGACGTGATCTTATACTGCCACAGGCAATAATAGGAGGTCCTAACCAATTACTCCATTTCTCCATCCCATTTATGATTTTTCTGGTGTTTGATGAGCTAGATGATTCTCTTCAGGTGGGCAGTATCCTCTCAGATAATTTTAAGAGGAAAGTCCTAAGATTACTAGAAATCGATAACTTATATAATTATGTCCAGTGACTAGTCTTGATTAAAGAGATATGGAAGCAGATGGTTTTCATGATTTTTATTACATTTATTCCCCATTCCATTCCAGAAATCAGGCAAACACACAATTTAATATGATTTAAAATGTAATCGTTAATTTGTGCTGTGATCAAATATTTGGACAATTGACTGCCTTTCTTTGGATGATCAGTATTGTGGTTGCTCTCCTGTCATGGACAACCTTTGGCCATTCTGTTTTTGACCTTCTGTAGATCAACAGGATGAGCAGGAACGGATTGAGGAAAGGCTGGCTTATATTGCTGATCACCTTGGTTTCAGCTGGACAGGTAAAATGAGTGTGACCCTTTTTTTTCAACAAAACCTGCTTGGTTTAAACGACATTGTTGCATCAGCCAACTGTCATTAACAATGAAAAAAGGCCTTTTTTTTCTTTCCTTGAGGAAGAACGCATGGAATAGTGAAAAGAATGATACTATGAACTAGAAAATCCAGGGTCTGCATTAACTCGCTGCATGAACCAGGGCAGGCCTTTAATTGTCTCTGGCATTTTGAATAATAGAACTTTAGATTAAGAGATTTTGAGAATATAAGAAGCCCCACTACCCTCCTTTGGGAGCTGTGGATATCTAAACTTTGGGGAGATTATTGTGTTTCAAAACCATTGTTAGTTGTAATTGTCATAAAATTTAATTTGAGATTCAACCGGGGCTCCTTGTTTTAGATGCCTTGAATCAGATATCTTCATCCTGAACGGTACTAAAATTTACTTCAGATGACTGTTGAAGTACATATGAATGAGATGTTTAATAATTCTCTGAGAGATGGGTATGTTTCAGTTTAGAAATTGTATGTTAAATAATTTTTTAATGGAAAGTGAATTCTAAAATCAATATGGTTTATTTACAACTCATGAGTTGTAGGTTTTAAAACTATACCCTTTCATCTTCCCTGCTGTTTAACATATTAAAGCAAGATTGTCCGTCTGGATTTTTTTCTTTTTTCTGTTTTTGTTGTTTGTTTATTTGTTTGGTCTGACTTCCTTTTATTAAGTAGACTTGTGACTACTTAATTGAAACAAGCAGTTTAAAGTTAATATTAATCTCCTTTCAGTTTCTTAAAAATTTGGTATGAATAGGAGCTAGGAGTCATAATATCCTTAAAGATAATTGATAATGTAGAATAAATGACTAAAGCATTTTAAAGTAATTTAAAAATACTGAGCAGGTTTATTTAATTGAGGGATTTAGGGGAAGGAAGGGTATCAAAATATCCCTGATTGACTGACTAAGTAGGTAGCATTCAGAATTATTTATTTTGCTTCTTAAGTATTTATGAGTGTATATATTAAACGTAATATCTATTATAGTTGGTGAAAATTCAAACCTTACAATCACTGAATGGTATAAAATGAAAAATAAATTAGTCTCTCACACCTACATCTCATCTTTGAGCCCCTTTCCTCAAAGGTAACTGCTAACACTTTCTCATGTATTCAGAAAAAAATCTGCAGTGCCCACATCTATGCTTATAGATAGATATAGATAAAATAAGCAAAATTTTACTTAACAGTATTCTTCGTAAATACTCCATCAGCATAGAAATATCTATGGCATTCTTTTAAATGGCTATTTAATTCCACTCTATGGAGGTACCATAATTTTATCAGTGGCCTTTGTTGATGGCTACTTAGGTTGTTTCCTGTTAGTGGCAGTAGATATCCTTATGCACCGATAGATTTTTGTGGGTGTTTCTATAGGGCATATTCCTAGAAGAAAAAAAGCTGCGTAAATATATGTATATTTTTAATTTTGAAAGATATTGGCAAATTGCCCTCCGAAAAGACACCTCATTCACACACACACACACGCACACACCTCAATGTATAAGCAACCATATAGAATGTTAATGGTAGACTTTAAAGGAAAACTTTGAGGCTTCTTCCCTAGGTCAGTTAATCCTTCCCAGACCTTTTATTCATGTGACATCAAATCACAGAAAGGAGTTTATCCAACCACCATAATATAGCTACAACCAGTATTTATCCAAGTACCCAGAAACAGAATTTATAGTATTTGCAAGTCCCCTAATTATGATTAAAAGTGAGACATGGTCTCTTTCTACTGTTTTCAGTCATTTATTTTCCATTGTCTTGGTTAAGAGTATAAGCCAGTATTAATGGTCTCTTCCAAATTTTGGAATTAAATGGTCCTGAATTTACATATTTTATCATCATTGCCTCAAACTTACTATTTCCACTATGACAGTGATCAATTCTATACCCACATTTAAGGAAAATATCTGCAGTTAGTGCTAGAAGAACAGAGGCATACGAGAGTCATTTCTAATAAGTAGGAAAAAACAAAGGAACTCTGTTACAGCAATACGAAGAACACATCATTTACAAAATCACAAGGCAACGTGTAGAGACTCAAACTATGAAGTTAATGTATTTACAGAGGAGTATTTTCTCTTTTAGAATTAGCAAGAGAACTGGATTTCACTGAGGAGCAAATTCATCAAATTCGAATTGAGAACCCTAACTCCCTCCAAGACCAGAGTCATGCACTATTGAAGTATTGGCTGGAAAGGGATGGGAAACATGCGACAGGTAGGTGGAGAGCTATATGTAAAAGGCGATAGGCCGGAAGTAGAAAAAAGTCCTGTTCAACAAACCTTTTATGCAAATTCAGTAAAAAGGTAAAATGACAGATGCCATCAACCTGAAGTGCTACTGTAAGCAAATGAGAAGAAGCTGTAACATTTCTCAAATATGCATGTTGCATAAAAATTCTTGTACTGTGTTCCTTTGAACAGCATTAACTAGTGGAAAGTGATACTAGCACTAGCTGCTAACAGGAAAGTTATTAAAGTCCTAAAATTTTCTATGTATTGACAGCAGACACACTTGCTTTATTAGCCATTGTCTTACGGATGGTGCATTACATTCAGTTCCTGCTTCCTTTACTCCTAAATAACTAAAATGGGGGGGCGCTTCCCTGGTGGCGCAGTGGTTGAGAGTCCGCCTGCCGATGCAGGGGACACGGGTTCGTGCCCTGGTCCAGGAAGATCCCACATGCTGTGGAGCGGCTGGGCCCGTGAGCCATGGCCGCTGAGCCTGCGCGTCCGGAGCCTGTGCTCTGCAGCGGGAGAGGCCACAACAGTGAGAGGCCCGCGTACCGAAAAAAAAATTTTTTTAATTAAAATAAATAAGTAAATAAAATTGGGGAAAATGTCAAGTAGATATTCTACATAATGATTTATATATGATATTCTGACCATATCAAATAAAATGGGAAGTGATACAGAACATAACTACTTCTTATCCCTCAGCTGGTCTAAGTTTGCCACTTTGTTTAATGCCTCTTTGAAGACCTACCTAGAGACCTCCCTTATTTACATCTAGCCCACATTTATCTTTCCTTCTCTTACCATTATTCTAGGTAGGATTGCCAGATTTAGCAAATAAAAATTGAGAGCACCCAGTTAAATTTAAATTTCAGATAGTCAACAGATACTTTTCTAGTATATGCATATCCTATGCAGTATTGGGGATATACTTTTACTAAAACAATTTGTCTTTTATCTAAACTTCACATTTGACAGGGTGTCCTATGTGTAATCTAGCAACTCCGCCTTTAGGGCTTATGCGCATATGCTCTGTCACCCATTTCGTACATAGCCCTTGTTTGTTTGCTTACGTTTACAAAGACCCTTAATCGGGCTTTGGTTGTTTCTTGTACAAACACCAAAATTGTAGTAAATTTTTCCTGTGCTTACAATATATCACCAAAAAAATTCAGTAAGGCAACTAAATGAAAGAGATTTTTAAAAGAGCAGCCCTCAGGTGTAATTTTCTCTAATATCCCAGATGCCAGTCTCATTGACTGTCTCACCAAGATCAACCGAATGGATATTGTCCATCTCATGGAGACCAGCACAGAGCCTCTCCAGGAGCGCATCAGTCATAGCTATGCAGAGATTGAACAGACCATTACGCTGGATCACAGTGAAGGTCAGACAATTGGTGTATGTGTATGAGTGTCTGTGATGTATGGTTAATTCAGGCAACTGGACCCACTGTCTTCCTTTTTTCAGAGCGTCGACCATGGCCTTTGCTGGTACGTTCTTCTCCTGAGACTTCCCTGCCCATTTTAGGTGCCCCCATCCCTCTCGTTCTTTGTTATTTCATCATTGTCTCAGTCAGCGTGGGCTGCTATAACAAAATACCATGAACTGGGTAGCTTAAACAACAGAAATTTGTTTCTCACAGTTCTGAAAACTGGAAATTCGAGATCAGGGTGATAGCCTGGCTGGGTTCTGGTGAGGGCCCTATTCTAGATTGTACATGGCTGCCTCCTTGCTCTGTCCTTACGTAGGGGACAGAGAAATAGCTAGCCCTCTGACCTCTTCTTATAAGGGTGCAAGTCCCATTCATGAGGGCTCCACCCTCATGACCTAATTACCTCGCAGGGTTACCACCTCTGAATACCATCACGTTGGGACTAGGGTTTCAACATATGAATTTGAAGGGGACCCAAACATTCAGTCCATAACAGCCATCAACATGGATGATCCGTCCAGTGCCCTTTCCTCAGCTCCTTGATGGCACTTCTGCTACTTGTGTCTTTTACTCTACCTTAGTGACCCATTTCTGTGCCCACAACCCAAACTAAATCATTATCAGTGACTGTACTACTTCCAGGTCCTAACTTGAAGCATTATACTTACATCCTCTTTTACTTCTACACAATAATTCTGCAAACCCATTGGACCTCTAGTCATTGGTCCTACCCCCTTTTCAGTGTTAAAGTTTCTCGAATCCACCCTCATTCACTTCCATGCTCACTCACTCCCATTCTTTCTCCTTCTCTCTCTCTCATTGCTATTTTTACACGTTCTCTTCTTTCAAGCCTCCAACATTACTCTTCTTTTTATTTATTCCAACCTGATGACCATACTTCATATTCCTTAGAAAAAATAGGAATACCTGTAAGCAAATGTCCATATTCTTTCACCACAAAGTCTCTCAACCTAAGTGCATCTCAGTGCTTATACTCTACCTTCCCTGCTGTATGAAATGGCCTTCCTTTGCTAAAGCCATCATCTCTTCTTTTGTACTAGATCTCATCCCCTTTTACCAACTATTGACTTCACTTCTGCAATCACCCACTCTGTCTCCTACAACTAGAACATTGTGAACAGCACTGAAACGTGCTTTAATAGATCCCAGCTTTAAAAACAAAGCAAAGGAAATAACTCCTTTCACCCTATATGCTCCCCTGTATGACTGCTCTGTTTCTCCATCCATTTCATGGGAAATCTCTGCAAAAGAATAGTCTAACTTTTCTGTCACTACTCTCTACTTTCTCTCTTTCCTTCTCTCTAGAACTGTCTCTAGAATCCACACAAGTCAGGCTTTGTCATCACCACTCAACAGAAAAGAATCTTGCAAAATTAACCAATTGTTTCCTCATCGCCAAATGCACTGACGCCATTCTCAGTCTTCATCTTCCTTTACCTCTTCTTAACATTTGACACAGAAAGTTAATCCCTTCTTCTTAAGACATTTTCTTCACTCACTTTCCATGATAACCTCTCTTCTTGTTTTTTTTTTTATTTTCTTATTTTATAGGACAGTCTTCCTCAATGTCTTTCTGCAGCTTACTTTCCATAGGTTTACGTGATGGCATGTATTACTGTTCAGCAAGAGCCTCATAGCTCGGCCCATCTCCCACCTCTCTCCCTCTTTCCCAAGTCCCAAGACACCTGGCCTCTGGGCTGTGCCCTGGGCACCCTACACCTTCTCAGGCTTCCAGGCTCTGGTGCTTCCTCTTCCCTGCATTCTGTAGTTTTCTTCCCTAAGATCACCCGGTACCTTTTTCTCTCACTTTATTCAGGCCTCTGCTCAAGTATCAGCTCCTAAGAGGAGCCTTTTCTGACAAATCTATCTAAAAAACTGGCCCTCTTTTCTTTGTACCTTTACCCTGGTTTCAGAAATAGGAATCTGCAGAAATGCAAGTTCAGTCAGGCCAGAAGCCTCTTCTGTCTTGTTCACTGCTATGTATCCACCATCTAACAGCACCTACTACAGTGTTGATACTCAATATATATCTACTGAGTGAATAACTAGATAGATGAAGGTCAATCACACCTCTGCCGAAAGTTTTTCAGTGACTCCTTATTGCCCTTGCTATATGAAATTCCTTAACTTGGCCTAAGAGACCCTTCATCAAAAGAGTACTAACCTCAGAGTGTTGTTTAATACACGTTAATACTTGCAAAGCACCTAGAATGGTGCCTGACACATAGTAAATATTCAGAATGTGTTAGGTATTTATTATTAATGCTCTTCTTACCATGTAGATTTATGCCTCAACTGTCGCAGTTGATACCTGCCTATCTTTAGGCCTCCTTAAGATGCCATACCCTCTGCATTTCTTTTCCTGATTCTTTAACCCTGAGTTGGATGCTCGGCATTCATTGACCGGCACCTGTGGCCCAGTCACTCTGCATTTAATTATCTCTTACTTGCCTGAGCTTCCCTAGATGGTCAGCATCTTGAAGGCAGACACAGTGCCTCTTTCAGCTTTGTAACCATGACTGATCACAGACATGGCATGTAGTAGTCGCTTAATAAATACCCACTTAATATAGTTTAGCTTCAATTAAATACTTTATTTAAATCGTTCTCCTCTGTAGGGTTCTCAGTACTTCAAGAGGAGCTATGCACCGCCCAGCACAAGCAGAAACAGGAGCAAGCTGCTTCTAAAGAGGACGAGTCCTATGATCACCCTCCCATCGTCTCGGAGGAAGACATTTCTGTCGGTTACTCCACTTTTCAGGATAGCATCTCCAAAACTGAGGGCGACGGCTCAGCAACAGAGCTCCTTCCCCAGACTCACAAGGAACAAGTTCAACAGGATTTCTCAGGGAAAATGCAAGACCTGCCTGAAGAGTCAGCCCTCGAACAGCAGGAATACTTGTGAGTTCCAAAAGAAAGCCTATGCGGTGTCATTCCAAAGACACAAGCCAATATGCAGAGGGTGCCAAGCATATACAAGCGTAAATCGTTTTCAAATAGCTTTCAGAACTACAGGAAAAAAAGCAAAGTACTTGAGACATGACTGTGACGGTGTTGTATGGCACAAGCCTGCTTGAGCCGACTTCCAGTTCCATGACCTTGGGCAAAGGCCTAAGCCCTTTGAGTCTCAGTTTCCACGTCTATAAATTATGATAATAATATACACCTTATTCATCTTACAGGCTCAAAGGTCACGGATATGCCTGTGAAACCATTGTTGAAACTGTAGACCACACAGTTATTACTCGTATGTTTGCTGCACCTCACTTCTCTGTATATGTGCCTGTCACACCCTGGCTGGTTCAGAAGGTGAACAGTGACAGTGTAGGTGAAGCAGCCCTTGTGTATTTCACCAAAGCTATGAGGTGGCTAGCAATAAAAATAGAAATGCAGATGCAACACAGATTACTCACACAGAATGAAAGGCCGTTAGGGGTTGGGGTGGGAATAAAGAGAAGTCTTCTAGAGCACTTCTGCCTAAGGGAAACTGCAGAGCACAGCCAGCTTAGAACTCAAGTTCTGGGCTTTCTGGAAGCAAAGGCAAAACAGAGTTGTGTAAATGACACTTCTTGTCTAGAAAAAGCAACCAGATCATGAGAAAGGCAAGCATGTCCCAGCCCTGAAATGTGAGAATAGCGTGTCAGGAGGCTGTAACACAGCATCTCCTTTGTCCTTGAGTGAGTTTTGTGCTGGAGTCACTGGAACTTGAGAAAAGGGTGAAAGGGGTTATTTGAAATGAGCTTTTCTTCCATGGAGCACTGCCCCCTCACCCATCTACCTTTAGATTGTAGGGGAGAGCATAAAGAATAGGTCAGGAAAAGAGAGAAGGAAAGAGAAAAAGATGGGAAGCAAAGAGGGGCTATCACAAAGGCATTTTGGGCGTTTAATATCTATGGAGTGACAGAAAATTAGAAGGAAGGAGCAGAACAAGCAGATAACGTTTTTCTTTTAGGAGTATTATAAAGATTACATTGCTTATCTCCAAACTATATCAGTAGAAAAAGTTTCAATGCCAACAAATCTTCCTATCAAGTAACGCAGTTTTCTGGATGGATAATAAGAATCTCCCTATGTTTATGATTATGGTAACTATATCAACATGGGGTTTATATATTGCTTTTTTGAAATTTTGCCAAATTTTGATCCTTGCTTCAAAAGCCTTATTGTCTACAGATCTTTGCTATATATACCTCCTCAAATCATCAATATTACCTTGAGTTATCAAAGGAAAGATGAAATTATTATTTATTAATATCTCTCATTATTAATTATCTCTACTTTGTAGAGATTAGGAAATGGTAATACATTTGAGGATAATTTTTATTATTTTAGAATACATTTTTCCCAATCAGTGCTAGATCAATGAGCTGTAACTGTATTCTGTATTTTACATATAATTTTTATTCACATTTCATTTCTTAGCCAAATTTACAAAACCTCTTTAGACTTTCACGGACTGTGAAGACAAGTTCCATCTTTCCTTCCAAATCCCTTGCATCAGCAGGGGCGGAAATGCATATGCTCTCATGGTATAATTGGGCTTTTCTGTTTCAGTGTGACAACCCCAGGGACAGAAGTGTCAGAGACTCAAAAGGCTATGGCAGCATCTGGCTCTCCCACCAAGACACCTGAGGAAATCAGCAGCCCTACTGAGGAGGAGAGGCCATATCTCCAGACCCCGACATCAAGTGAGCGGGGAGACTCTCCCATTGTGCAAGAACCCGAAGAGCCCCCAGAACGTAGGGAAGAGAGTTCGCCTCGAAAAACCAGCCTCGTGATAGTGGAGTCTGCCGATGACCAGCCACAGGCCTTTGAAAGGCTCGATGAAGATGCTGCTTTTCAAAAGGTAAAATCTCCTCCTCTATTTCCTTGCCCACATGTAGCAAAGCTACAAACCTTCTCCCAGTTTCCATTTCTCTGATGGCTTATGTTTTCACAGAAAGGTTTGCCAAAATAATTATCTTGGGCCAAGGGAAGCCCTCAATCCCTTTTAAAATCTGAGAACCGGTGAATCTAGAAAAAGATGATACATGGTTCCATTTCTAGCTACTTGACCATCAGCCCTAATTTTATAGCTGGAAACCCTTTTGCTAAGAAAAGTGAACCCTGGGGTAAAACAATATACCAGATGTAGCTTTTCAAAATTAGTAATCTTGGGCATAAAGAAGACTAGTGAGGGGAAATTAACCGAGCCTCAGGTAAGTAAGTCGGCCTGCCATGGGAAATTGCTGGAACCTGCACTCTTGTTCATTAGGTCCGTGCTGTCAGGGGATGAGCACACAAGCTGTGGATATTGAGTGGGGCTTACTCCCAAAACAAATTTTTCTCATTAGAGGAAGGATTATTTCCAAGCGAAATCTCCTTATATTTATTTTAAGAATGACTCATGAAAAGGACATTATGCCTATATTGGTGGCTGGTTCTAAATGTCAGAAAATCGATAGCAGCGTGAATATGCGTCAGTCTTTCCTTTGTCTTTAAGTGGGCTTTGATGTTGTGAAGAGAGGTGGAGAAACTCATTTAAACCATTTATTCTCAAAACTGGTCTGAATGGTTCATATCCCTCAGCTTTAACTGGAGGGCTTGATCCCTCCCTACTTAGGACTCCTGAATCAGAATGAATCCCAGGGAGGGGAGGAGAGGGAGAAGAATCTGCATTCCAGTAACTCTGTAGAGGATTAAATTAGATATATTTTTCCTTTTTGGATTCAAAAACATATGTCGAAGTATTTTTAAAGCATGAATATACATCTTTTAGGAAAGAATGTTTTATAAAATAATTAAAACTCTGGGGGAGAAAGTGATATGACATATCTTTGGGCTTAACATCTACATTTGTTTTTGTTCACTATGAGTGTGATATCTGCTAGCAGGATTTATCTAAAATCATAGTTTAAAATTAGCGGAGGTCCAGGCAGATGAGAACTGCTCGAAATTTTGGCAGTTATCTTAAATAATGAATTCATCCCATGAATGAATTTTTATTCCAAGTTTGCCTTTGTATAGAATTATTCATCTCCAAGTTTTTGGCTTAAATGAATCCTAGTAAAAATGTTTGGTAGATGCTGTCTGGACTTAAAAGTTGCCAATTTTAGTCTAAGAATCTATAGGCTAATTGAAGCATAGGCTTGAGACAGTCATCTGGATAATTCATATATTTAATCTGTTCTGTGTATGTAAATAAATTTTGACAAGTTGTTCTGTATTCCACATTATTTATATGGGCCTGTTCTACTTATTCTTGATGAATTTCCAATTCTTAAGCTTCCTATTTTGACCCTTATCCTCTCATGACCCTGGCTTGAGGGTCCAATTTCAATCACTTTTCTTGCTGACCATATTTCTAGGCAGCAGATTCCTAAGTGTATTTAAATAATAATTTGGTTTAAAATTTACATGTTTTCCTTTAGCAGGAAAGAATATAGAAATATAAGTGGTATTTTAAACTATGTTGACAAAATTTAGTTGAGTTTTCTTTTTTTTTAATAGCATTCCATTAGGAAAGAGTGATTCGATATATAGCTCCCAAGACATACGTTTTAATCTAAAGTTATGTTCTTAGCTCCGGCTTTGGCTTTGGGCCAGACCCATAAAATTGGATTGGCCTCTGCACCTCAACTTCTCTGCAAAATGAGTCTAATACTATTCGTAGCCCGTCTTCCTTCCTCTGTCTTGCCAGTAGGGAAGTGTACTACTGGCCAGATAATAACTACAGGAAACTTTGACTTCCTGCAGAAAGTTCTGCTACAAGAGTTAAGACATTTCTGTACCTGTGGTTGGGTCATTCTAAGCCTAAGCCCAAGAGGCAATGGCTCACAAGTATTTATCGTGCTGCCTAGGGTCTATGCTTACATTTGGTTATTCACCGGGAGTTTGAGTCCAAGATGTAACGTGGGCAAGCTGCTTGTTTCTTCTGATGGATTTTGACAGATGGGTGCTCAGACAGCTTTCAGAATCCAGAATTTGTTTTTTTCATTCAAAGAACAAAAAGCTATATTCTCACTGAAGTTTTGAGCCCAGCATGCACTGTTTTCACTCCTGCTGGCTTTTCCACCAAAATCACCATGAATAAAGCTTTCGGAAACCGGTGTGAGCTAAAGCAGAAACGAGTAGTGAGGACATTCCTTAGCATGATAAAAAAAAAGTGCTTCCATGCTTCCACCAGGAGCTAACAGAGGAATTAGGTGAGCTGGAGGCCAGCTCAGATGAGGAAGCGATGCTAACTACCAGGGTTGTCCGCCGACGAGTGATTATTCAGGTACCAGCTGTTAAATTACTGCACGTCCGGGACAGTTCTGTCCCCATAACCCTTCGAGAGTGACCGACCTAGAACGGAGGGCTTGGCATGCTCCTTAGGTAGTGCATGGCCTTCAGAAAGCAGATCCCGTAACTCTCCTAAGTTCTGTTTGTGAAGAAATGCAGCGGTAATGACATTCGCCGCCTACCTCCAAGAGAGCAAAGAGCAAGATTTAGCCTCTTCAGTTCCACCCACCTCACCTCTGGCTTGTCTGTTTTTGTTTGTTTGCTTGTTTGTTTAAGTTTGAGCTGACTTTGGTCAGGTTCTCTAGCATGTTATTACCCACCTTTTTTTTTTCTTTCTTTTAAACATACTACTTAACAGGATTTGGCATCTCAGCAATGCTTCTCAAAGCTCCTTTAATTTTCTAACGTTCCTGGCATTGTAAGCACTTGGGAGTAGTTCCTCAGCATTGATGCCAAACATGGAAGTGACCCTTTTCTTTCAAATGTGTAGGGAGATGATATGCCTGACATACCCCCGGAAACAGTCACAGAAGAAGAATACATCGATGAGCAGGGACACACTGTGGTAAAGAAGGTATTATCTTAAGTATCTTCCCATGGTTAATTTCAAGCCTCCTGTCTAAAATGTATCAGTACCCTGGCACTGTCACTCAAAAACAAGACACATGAATAAAATATCTTCCAGGTTACTAGGAAAATCATTAGGCGGTACGTCTCCTCTGATGGCACAGAGAAAGAAGAGATTACGATGCAGGGAACACCACAGGATCCCATCAACATTGAGGAAGGGGATGGCTATTCCAAAGTCATAAAGCGCCTTGTGTTAAAGAGTGACACTGAACAGTCGGAGGTGAGACCATCTGATTCTCCAGAACTGATTTTATGGAGAGGTGTAAAATACAGCTCACAGGAGATGGACGAGATTGCTTATTCCTATTGGCCTCACTTCTCCCCTTTATAAGGCAGTCTTCGTTTAGTTACACATTCATTTTTTTTCTTCGTGATTTTGTGGAATTTTTAGGTAACCATCAGTGAGATTTGTAACCATTATACTCATTGTCTTTCGTCCTTTCTAGTTCTACTTTCTCTTTAATTCAGTTGACTGCAGCCAAAATCCAAAAGTCAAATTTTAAAAGACAGCAATCCCATCAGTTGGCAAGCAGTAGGTTCTGAAAAAAACTTGTGCAAATGCACTGTGGTGCTTTGCCCAGTAGGCAGCAGCAGCCTTCTGTAGGGCACCTTAGAGAGAGATTTGATTTCCAAACTTCTGCATTTCAGAGTCACTGAAATCAGGATCCAGAAACTCACTTGATTTATAGTTTTATTTCTTTCTGTTTTACTTCCCTCTTTCAGAAACATATTTACTCTCTTTGACATGTAATTTGGGAGATTCTTACCATCTCGCATTCATTCACATCCTCAAAATGTAATTATTATACACATGAGGTGCTCTAAAAATCTACATTTTCAGTTTCTCATAGCTCTGACAGTTCCTCCTTTGGAGGTTAATTTTGTCTCCATAATGTCAAAACAAAGCATTTACACATGGGAGAAGAGAGCTCGTCCACAGGGTGCTATGTCTGCACTGCACTGAGCAGTCAATTTCTCAGTCGTGAAGCTTCCTGACCAATTTTCGTTCAAGTGACTAATTAAGTGGTTGATTTGGTACTGTGTACATATAGTCATAATATAGATATTACCAACTGATTCTAGAGATTTCTTCTAACTGCTTCTTGTTGACAGAATGCTGTTTTCAGGGTATACCATTGTAATGTGTTTTTTAACATAGAAAAATTCATCATCGTTACATTTTGGCAGTCAGAAACTGTATATTGTATGTCCTTCATTCATCAGGTAACTTTGTCTGAGCCCAGCATTTTGTCCAGTACCTCACAATTTCAGGCTGAACCAGTGGAAGGCCGTAGAGTCAGCAAAGTTGTTAAAACAACTGTGGTACATGGAGAGAGGATGGAGAAGCATCTGGGGGATTCTAGTTTAGCCACTGATCTTCCTTCAGCCAAAGATGACTTTGAAGAGGTATAAAGCATCATCACTTTGTCTGTGTGTGTGTGTGGGGGGGTATTTTATGTGTGCTTTGTGTTTGAGAAGAAAATCATTTATCATTGTGTCATTCCATACATGTATTCATGGAAGGATGCAGAATAATTCAAGAGAGTAGAATTCCTGTTTGAATAATGTATACAGTGAAATAATATTTTACTCAACTTATTGTGTTCATTTGTGCCACCTTAAAAGCTTTAAAAAATCCATATGGGGCTTCCCTCGTGGCACAGTGGTTGAGAGTCCGCCTGCCGATGCAGGGGACGCGGGTTCGTGCCCCGGTCCGGGAGGATCCCACATGCCGCGGAGCGGCTAGGCCCATGAGCCATGGCCGCTGAGCCTACGCGTCCGGAGCCTGTGCTCCGCAACGGGAGAGGCCACAAAAGTGAGAGGCCCCCGTACCGCAAAAAAAAAAAAAAAAAAAAAATCCATATGACCAGGATTCGCTTCAGCTCAATGAGAATCAGAATCTCTGAAGTCGGGACATGATTGTACATCTTGCCTAAAAGTCCCAGAAGTGACTTGCAGTCCCAATTAGTAAGGGAAAGAAATAGGTATTGTACATTATCTTTGCTAGCTAATATTCTCAGATATTTCCAACGATAGGCATTAAAGAAAATTCGGGTATCTTTTATTAGTTAAGTTCTGATTTTCAGTAATTAGGAAACAGGTCCACAGTGACATCCACAAACACTTATTACAATTCAAAAATCCCAACATTCTGGAGCTCACCTAGTGCACTGTGGTAACTTAAATGGGAGGGAAGTCCAAAAGGGAGGGGATAGGGCTTCCCTGGTGGCGTAGTGGTTGAGAGTCCGCCTGCCGATGCAGGGGACACGGGTTCTTGCCCCGGTCCGGGAAGATCCCACATGCCGCGGAGCGGCTGGGCCCGTGAGCCATGGCCGCTGAGCCTGCGTGTCCGGAGCCTGTGCTCCACAACGGGAGAGGCCACAACGGTGAGAGGGCCGCGCACCGAAAAAAAAAAAAAAAAAAAAGGGGGGGGGAGGGGATATCTGTACGTGTATATGCTGATTCATTTTGTTGTGCAGTGGAGGCTAATACAACATTGTAAAGCGACCGTACTCCAATAAAAATTAATAAAAACCCCCACAACTAATAGATTGGTAATGCTACAAATGCCATAATTGATAACCTTATATTAGCATTTTGCAGTTAAAAATGAATTGGCTTATTTTATATAATATTGAATATTTTGTTTCTATATCACCAGTTAAAAGAGGGTTTCAGGCTGCTGCTTATTGTCTAGAATGTTTTTCAAACTACACATTCTAGGTCTTTTCAATAAATGAACAGCCAATTTGAATAAAATGTCACAATTTTCTATTTTGAATTCTGGATTTGGAACACTGAAGATATCAAAATGTTGGTATAAGAATTTTGATCCAGGGAATGGAACTTATGATGCTGGTGAAGATCATCTGAAATAAATTTCCATATCTTAAAAAAAAAAAAATCCCAACATTCTGAAAACCAAAATAAGTTTTATAAGTTAGTAGCAAGCTAATTTGGTAATAAAACTTAATGTGAACTGACATGGGGCTGTAATGACTTGGCAGTCTTTTTTATTCTACAAGAGTGAATGTTCATGTTTTGCTATTGATATATCAATGGCTTTGATTACAGGATGCTGTCCCTATCCTATCTGAGCTATTAGAATATACAGTATATACATCATATTACCTTTCTAAAATCCAAAAGGAAAAAAAATCTGAAATCTAAAACACATCTGGCGCCAAAGGTTTCAACTAAGGGATGGCGGGCATGTGCAAACATCTTTGAAACATTCTTTGCTATTGAAACATTTTGAAGTTAAATGTTACATGTATGTCCTCTTTTATACCCACAATATGCATTGAGATTATATATGAATGCATTGGGATATTAAGAGCATACCTTATTTTAAATACTTTTAGTTCTTCACATTTTGACAACTGGTGACCTTGGACAATCAAAAGATGTATTATCTGATTATACACTTTGGGCCTTATTTGCCTGTTGCTTGTTTTTGCCTCTGGTCATTATTCATTGTATTTGTTATTAGAGTCTTCACTGCAGAAAGGATGCGGGTAAGGCAAGCACAAAAGTAGAAGTCAGCCAGTATAGTTTGCAAGAATTGTAAAATAATTATCAATAGAACAAATCTCCCTCACAAATGGGAGAAATTTAACAGACTTGCTAAATAAAACTCAATAATTAGATCTGCCCCCAAGAATTGTTTTTCTTTATCCTTTCAAGTATGTTTTTTTTATACTATTCATTAAGCAGAATAATAGGTTGTGTTACAGTCTATGGTTTATGATGGGTTTTGTCTTCTTTTCTTTTTTTTCTTACTTCAGGCTCTGAGTTACACAGGTAGCCACATGAAAGTCCACTCCCCCAGTTTAGTAGAGAATGAAATCCTGAAGGAGGATGGATCAATACTTAGAAGGTTTGGGTTAGCATGGGGTGATGCTTTGCCAACTAACACCTTTAAAAAGTTTTCCAATTTTAAGAAAAGAAAAATAGAGCCCCTGCATCTACCTTAAAACCCCTTGGAAACTGCAGACTCTCCCTGCATTGTAAGACTTTGGTCATGTGGTACATCTGTCGCTGTGTCATTCCTGAAGTGTCCTCTTGATGCTTTAAATGTAATACTAAGGCATGATGATAGTCAGACAACTGTTTACACAGTCGCTCCCTGGGTTTCAGCAAGTCATCAATTTCGTTGAGGCCAAGCAGCTGGGATATTCCATTGCCCAGCACAGTAAGAGGAATCTAATCAATTGCTCACAAACTAATCTTGTGACCAGCTGCCTTCAGCTCTTGGTAATCATTCCTTTGAACGGCACATGGTTTTTTTTGTTTGTTTTTGTTTTAAACAAGCTGCTTCGTGACTCTGCATGTGAGTGGCACATAACATGAGCGTGAGTGGCAAATAACATGAGGTTTGAACCTCAATGCACCTAGCGAGGCTGAAACCAGGGGCTTTAATAAGTTAAGAAAGTATCATAAAAGCAGTAAGCAGCTCATATTTGTGCATATGAACAGGGACCAGCTATGAGGCTTTCCAGTCCACCCCCATCCTCATCACCTATTTGATGTGTAAACTTCGGCACTGTTGCCTTGGTCTATACCCTCACCTCTCTCTGGGCCTCTAGCAGCACTGTGAGGATTGACAGAATGTTCTCAGCTTTGCAGTGAAAAGACACAATGGAAATTGAATTTACTGTTGTGCTTTTCACTTCATTGAAAAGAAGAGAAAGATTTTCATTTATAGTACTCTACAAAGCTATGTTTAGCCTATAGAGCATAATAATTAGAACAGTGAAATTAAAGGTTCTGTCACGATTCCACCCTCCAACCACATGTGAAAAACAGCCCCAGCTAGGAATGTAAAAGAGAGTAATTGCTCACAGAACTTTAAAAATGCTATATATGAATTAAGGATAGAGTGCTTCTTATACTCTGAACTTTTAAGTCTTTTACTCAATCATTCATATGGAACCACATAAACCACAGACACCCTAGCATCATGAGATCTTCACATGGGAATAGATTTAGAGATCAATTAATCCAAAATTCGCAATGACAGCTGGTGAGTTGCGAAGCTAGGGATATAGACATCTCAATCCAGTTCCACAGCTACTTAGTCATGGAAGTCTGTTTGTGATCTGCAACACTTTATCTTATATGTTGCTGAAGACATTTGATCATACCCGCTGCTTGAGTCGTATACGTATGCGTATTCATAAATATATTTGCCTACATGTGTGAGCACAAAACACCAGGGAATGTCCTATGATAGAAGCTTATCCCCCGACACTAATGCCAAAGAGGTTTTTACTAGCTCTTGGCAGCGATAGTCAGATATTTGCCTTTGGGGAGAAAAAAATATATGTGGATGCTGAATAGTTAGAAAACATAATCTGATTTCAACCACTGGAACCAAATTTGACCTTTTTATCAAAAGGAACAAATTTAAGTTAGCTTTCAGATACAAAATAATTCATGTAGAATCAAAGGAACGGGGAGGTAAGAAAACACGAAAGAAGGTAGGAGACAAGATGTCCAAAGGAAAGCCAGAAGAGTGCTGGCTGAAGTTAGCCATTTTTTAAAAGTCAAGGTGATCTTAAGAAATGCATAGAGGTGTTGGAAGGTAGAGTAATGCTAAGGGCAGCCCATGGGCAGAGCCCCCAGCTTCCGGACACTAGGAATCTATAAGGAAAATGCTGGGTAAAGCTACGAAAACTGATCCTTCTGATGGTGGTGTAAAGCAAGGCTGCATGGCGTCGTGGTTACAGATTCAAGCTCTGGAATCTTTGACTTTTGGCCTCGCTGCGTAGTAACTGGATTATTTTTTATTTGGAGCACTGCTTAAATTCTCTGAGATCCAGTTTCCTTACTTGTTATTATAATAATAGTACCTGGCCCATAAGGCACGTTCACCACATATATGCGGAATGAAGAATTATATTTACCAGTAGAGAGGAAGGGACTTCCCTGGTGGCGCAGTGGTTAAGAATCCGCCTGCCAATGCAGGGGACACAAGTTCGATCCTTGGTCCGGGAAGATCCCACATGCCGCGGAGCAACTAAGCCCGTGCGCCACAGCTACTGAAGCCCGCACGCCTAGAGCCCATGCTCCACAGCGAAGAGTAGCCCCCGCTCGGCACAACTAGAGAAGAGCCTGCGCGCAGCAACGAAAATCCAATGGAACCAAAAGTAAATACATAAACAAGTAGAGAGGGAGAAGAACTGAGAGGGAACAAATCACAGTATAATCATTTTCAAGAAAGGATGCAGGAAAATAATAGTACCAACGTAATAGTACGTCAGAGCCGCTTTTCTCAAGTAATGGCCAGTCTGATGACGGGCCAAGAAATCAGTACACTGTTGAGTAGCTGTAGGAGGTATAAAGTGGGCCAGTACTTGCGTTCTGGGAAGACAGAGGAAGGATGTGTCTCTCGGTGGGTTTTTTCCTTTCCCTCTCCCTTCCCCACTGTCTCCGGATGAAGCTTCAGAGGCCTGGGCCAACCTGCAACTCTTGCTGGTAGTCACCTGCCTTTATGCTGATAGAATATTATTCCAGTTTTTAAAGACCTATACCCATGGAAAAGTTCTCTTAGGACATTTTCGGGAAGTTTGAGCTGGGTAGTACTCTTAAGGATTAAGCTGGCAGCTAAGGTATTTTAAATAAATTAAATCAAAAACTGTTTTTCTTAGCCTGTCAAAAATTACGTATGGAATCGCTATTTCAGGAGTCGTCACGTTCTTTCCTAATCAAAACATGAATGATTGTGTGGTTGATTACTTTTTGAGGGAATCATATGAAAGCACGGTTTCATTTATTTGAAATATTTCCTAAAGGTTTAAAAAAAACTCCTTGTTCCAAAATACTTTCTAAAAATCTCATGAGTCATTTCAGATAGGAGAACCATGTTTAAAAGGAAGAAGGGAAAAGATGGCTGTACTTGTTCTACTAATAGCCCAGTGTAGAAATATCTAGAGGTTAAGACAGTAAGCAGAGCTTTCTTATCATGGGTACTCTTATACCAAAGGTAGTGGCTGCCTTTTAGCAGTGAAGAAAGAATATAATGTTCTCTTGTCTGTTTTCCTCCAGGACAACAATGAGTAAAGCCAGAACCCAGAAGAGGGCTGTGGTGAAGGACCAGCATGGAAAACGCATTTACCTGGAGCACCTGGAGGATGTCCCAGAAGCATTAGACCAGGACGACCTCCAGCATGACCTCAAGCGACTCCTTCGGCACTTCTGCAAGGAGGACATGAAGCAAGAGGCCAAATGAGAGGCTGTCCAATTCTCACACCAGAAACCACACATTCACTCGATATGCAACTTCCCGTTTCATTAGAGGAGTGAACTAACTGGCTTGATGAATGGGATTTCCACCCTTAGCATATACACTGCATTTTGTTTGAGTTTTTCCCCATCCTCTTTAACTGTAAGCTAATTTGTGACCAAAGATAGCATCCTTCATCCTGGATGCTGTACCCACTCCTTTGTTGTGTCTGTGCTCACCTGGGACCTGGCCACCTCCATTATTCTTCTTGGCTTCTGCACAAGCTCCATGAAAATCCATTGAACAGAAGAACTTCACCTGCAGACCTCTTCAAATGACGATACCTAGGAATCCTTCAAAGAGATACCCATGTACAATATATATAGCTAAAATGCTCAGACGAACAACATATTAAAACCACTGCCTGTCGTAACTACACTGGGCATCACGGAATAAAAGGCCTCTAGGAATTGCTGAACAATGGTTCACTAAGATATTGCTAACACAATCGAACGTAATACAGTTCTCCTGCAAAAGAAGCACTTCAGACCTACCATGTCCTTAGAACTTCCAGAGTAGCCCTGGCTCCTAGTGAAAGATGGGTTCATAACCTTGAAGAACTGTCCTAACTAAGCACTTATTGCTGGTGCTGGCCAGCTGTGATTTATGACTCTCCAGCAGCCACTGAGGGAGGGGAGGAAGGGAGAAGTGGCAACGAGGTGAAGCAGTGAGGTATTCAGTTGCCAGCAGTGGCATCCTGCAGCTGTCTAGCATCTTCAGGTCCTTTAGATTTGGGACATGTTGGCAGGGTATTTTAAAAAGCTATAACTACTGTAGTTTTCCAGTTTTCATTGCTGCTTTAGCAAACCACGCTGTCTTATTGGTGGTACTTTCTCCTGGCCACTGCACTGTAGATAATTCATTGGAAACAAGATTTGCCCCCTACACAAACGGTTAAACTCCTTCACCGTGTTGGAGTGGTTTCTTTCATTTTTTTCTTCCAGGTTTATATCTTCTCTAATACCTGCATGTAGCATTTAAGAATCAAACCACAGTTCAAACCCATCTTCTAATCACATTGATGGTTTTCATTCTTTTTACCCTGAGCAAGCACTTTTCACTTTTCAGCTAGGTCTGTTTTTTAGCTTGCAGACGAGATTGAGAAATCCTGAAAATTTTGGTTTGGGTTAAAATTTTGGGTTTATTTATTTGAAATCCAAACTCCCTTGGAAACCTTGAAGTGCATTTGTGCACTTTCCTGTTTGTTTGTTTCAAAGAAGGGACTTTAATCATCTGAGTGATTTCATGTCCTATTCCTTATTCCTCTAGTGGTGGAAGCTGTGTAGCATTTTAACATATATATATATTCACAAATATATTCATATAAACAGTATACATTTTGAGTCAGTTATTTGTTAAAGAAAAGTATATTCAATGAAGATGAAATTAAAAAATTTTGAAAACCAGAGTCTATCCTCCAGGGATTAAACATTTTCGAATTCTATCTGGTCTTTTCCTGTTGTGCAAAAATGACTCATTGTTCTGAATGTCAAAAACAAAGATGACAAACAATGGCATTTCATCATTTCAAGTAATTTTGCCAAGAGAGAAGATTTCCTGGGAGGGAGGTTTCCCACAAGCCAAATCTCCTAAGCCTTGAATGCTAGCACGTTTGGCAGCTGGATAGGAAAGAGAGCATCTTTGGCAGCCAACATGAAGGAGGCCAATGGTGAAACATTTTGGACGTACCATGGCCTCCTTGTCTACACCTTCACTGGAGCTCAAGAAAAGCGTTTCTGTTGTGTGATTTGCAGTGCAGACGATGTCTGTGTAACAACATAATGGTTAATCCCCTTTTTTTGATTTTGATTTTTGCTGTGTAATCAAAAAACTTGAATAATGTGAGAAGAAGTGAATTTTCAGTTGATGAATCAGCATCTTGTTCCCATGGTGATAACACTAATTGAATATATCTATGAGGGCATGTATTAGTTAATGGAAAAAAATACAACACTAACAATACATAGCTGCAATGTGTACAATGGCTGATTTAATTAAATAAAATGTACAAGTGTTAAGTGTGGCAACAGTGATTTGTTCTTCTTTAGAACTCACCTGTGATTTCAGGAGGTGAGACATTATTAAAGAGATGGAATAGATGTGAAGCCAAAAGAAAAGCAGCTTGCCTTTGTTCTTTTTATTTGGTAACTGAATAGGCTCCATGCCCAACACTGTTTAAGCACTGGGAGAAACAGAAAGATTGTATCCCTGCCCTCAAAGGACTTTCATTGCGATCGTTATGCAAAGGGAGAAAAACAAAGATTTAGTTTTGGGATCACTAGTAAATGAGAAATAGGAACTTGTGGGCTTGGAGGACATGAGGAGAGGGGATCCAGGGGTGGGCAGCGCAGAGAAGGACCCCGGATTCACTTCTCTCCTGTAAGGTCATGGATCTCAGGAAACACCTTCTGCTTTTGGGAGCAGTGTTTAGCTCTGGGGTTTTATTTCTCTCTCATTGACTGAGAATTAGAAATGAAATGGATCCGTTAATAGAAATAAAGACAGGGCAGGAATATGCAAAACTGGAATCAGTTTTGTTTGGAGACTATTTTGGGTTTTGCTTTTTGAAAACTCCCTTTAGTGCTGCTATAGCATTTTTTACTGCAAAAACAGAACAGAAAGACATGGTTTAAAAATTAAGTTTTATTTAAATCTTATCTAGTATGAGATAGGAAACTCACTGGATCTGACTTATCTGCCTGGATGATTTACAAGACCTTCCAAAATTAAAGTACCAGTTATGCTTGAAATATTTCAAAGAAAAGAGAGTCAAAAAAATTTTTTTTCCAGAGTGGGAGTGTCTGTGTGACCATCCCTCTTCCTCCCATTTGTTTCACGTGCTGTGCTTTCTATTGACAGGAACTCTGAGCTTCCATTGCCTTGAGTTTGAATTAAGGAGATTAAAGCATCAGAGAATGTTCAGTGTCTTTCCATGTTTAATTATGTGGTGTGCAAACCCCAGTAAAAAAAAGGAACAGTGATTCATATGACCTTTTACAGAAATATATTTAAGATGTGAAGTTGGGGGGAGCCCTCCAGACTGAGGGAAGATTATGCACGTCTCATAAATGACTTGAATTAGCCATAAAGAGTTGCAAATTAAATACAGGCACATTGAAACAAACTTGAACTTGAGATGCCTGTGTCATTTATGTCATCACGGAAGGTCTGGGTGTGGGCAAGTAGACAAGCACATGAATAAAACAGATAAAGGGAAGCTAAACAAATATTTAATGAGAACCAAAATCACTACAAGTTTTTCTTAATTCATAAAGATGGTCTGCTTGTTTTCATTATGTTATAAAAAAAAAAAAGCTGTTTGAACAAGTCTGTCTTCAGTCACCACTCCCTGCTTAAAAACTACACTGTCCTTCCTTCAGTTAAGGTATGCTTTCTGTTTCTGATCTAATTAAAGCTAGAATTACAATCTTGGAATGAATCACCTATGTAAATATATAATACAACTTTTTCTCACTCTAAGAATAGAACATTTAAGAAAATCTTTTAAAGACCTTAAGAAAAACATTCCCACCCAACTCCTGCACACAAGTTAAAATATTCTTTTTCGGTTATACTCCTGGGGAAAAAAAGAAGTACTCCCTTGCTTTGGATTAGCTCCAAGGTATGGAGTAAACGATACACATAAATATATTTTGGGTAGAGCTGTTATGTATGGTAGCCAGAGATACTTGACAGTGGTATTCGCAGTACTTCAACAGATATCTTCAATCACTAGAAATGCTCAGTTAATATATCCTTGAAATATTTCAGTGAGGCAATATGACACAAGGGTTAAACAGATGATCTTGGAAAAGACTGGACTGGAATCAATCCAGCTATGTCGATATTTATGTGACTTTGTGAAAGTTTACCCACTGGAACACAATTCCCTTATCAGTAAAATAAGAGAGGATAATACAGTCATCCCTCATTATCCACGGAGGATGCTTCCAGACCCCCTGCGGAAACCAAAATCCGTGGATGCTCAAGTCCCTTGTATAAAATTGTGTAGTAGAGTCAGCCCTCCAAATCCGCGTGTTCTCCATCCAGGGATTCAATAGGTGAAAAATTGATCCACGATTGGTTGAATCCAAGAATGCAGAACTTCGAATAAGGAGGGCTGACTGTACTTGCCTCAGAACCCTCTGGCCTTACCAGACCCAGGGAAGGGCAGCAAGTCCTGCCCCATTTGTCACCCCCTTTAATCCAGAAGTGCCGCTGTAGCCTATGTGTCCTTGGAGGCCATTAGGTATGGACCCGTATTTGTGACCTTCCACTTCTCTGGGGAGGAGTGAGCCTCTGGATTGGTATTGAAGGTGTTAGCCCTCTAGGTTAGAAAATAAAGTTAGCTGCTTCCTCTCAGGGACTCGCAGAACATGCTTGTCAATTAAGCCCTTTGATTCACTTCCCCTTCTGGGGAAGGATTCTTCAGGATCTCTTTTTCTCATCAGGCTCTTAGCGCACAGTTCTGGTCTCCAGTCCTTTTTCAAACTTCCCACACATACTCTATTTCCGGTTTTCTTTCTTTTCCACTTTCAAAACTAGCGAATTAGATAAAGCCACCCAAACTCCCCTACGTCCAGCTTAGCTGCTGCAAAGAGACGTGCTGGCAGGGCCCTGGGCTGGACTGGAGGTGGATCTGAACACAACAGCTGCCTTTGCGGTTGTGCAGAAACAATTGAATTACAATGTCAGCGTGAAATCCACATCCTGCCAGTTTTTCTTGGGCGTTGATCAGAACTCAGCCCTCCTCCAGGCCATGATATAGGGTTTACGTGACACTAGTCTAGCAGCAACTTCTGGATGAGGTGGACCTTGTGTGTATTTTCCAAGTGACTCACAAATATTTGATACCTTAGAGAAACACCTCCCCCGGCCACCCACTCTCTCACCCCCAAAAGTCAGAGGAACAATTTGGAGAGTCTGTTGTTCCAACAATGCCGTTAGCCTTTAGATTGGTATGTTAGTTTCCTAGAACTACCATAACAAAACACTACATACTAGATGGCTTAAACAGCAGAAATGAATTTTCTCACAGTTCTGGAGGCCAGAGATCTGAGATCAAGGTGTCAGTAGATTGGATTCTTCCGAGGCCTTTCTCTTTCTCTTTGGCTTGCACATGACCGTCTTCTCCCTATGCCCTCACGTGGTCTTTCTTCTGTGTGTGTGCATCCCTGTGTCTCTTTGTACGTCCAAATATCTTCTTATTAGGACCAGTCAGATTCCATCAGGCCCACCCAACTGGCCTCATTTTAAACTAATCACCCCTTTAAAGGCTGTTTCCAACTACAGTCACATTTTGACAAAATGAAGGTTAGTGCTTCAACATATGAGTTTTTGGAGGACACAACTCCACCCACAACTGGGTTTAGTCCAAAACAACAAAGCCCACTAGGTATTTTAAGTAAGGAAGGATTTAATGCAGGGAATTAGATGCTTACACAAATGTTGGAAGAGTCGGAAGAGTGAAGGCAAGGAAGCCGATACTACTTTGAAGAAACTTCTTAAGTGCAGAAATCAGAACTCCAAGCAGCCACTGATGGGTTGGGCTCTTTGCAGCAAGAAGTGTGTGCTTGCCCGGACATGAGTGCACAAAACCCTCCTCTGTCTTCTGCCAAAGTCCAGGCACGCTCCCCAGCTGCCCCTTGACAAATAATTTGTTTCCTTTTCTTTCCCTTTCAAACATCAGGCAGACACTTATCATTGGCAGAATGTATCACATAATGCCACTGGAAAGGGATTCCAAGACATATAGTTCTGAGCATCTTCCCCTGCCTGCAGGGAAGAATGTAGACTAGAGCAGCAACAACACAGGGGCTGAGCCACAGAATAACAGTCTTCATCCATTCACTCACTCATGCACTCAAGACCTACTCTATTCCAGACATTTTGCTAAGTACTTAGGGTAGATTGAGGCCAAGATGATCATGACTTTTTACCATTGCCAGTCGCCGTTGAAAGTGCCCTTGAAACTCGTTTAATTTCTACCAAATCCTATGAAGTATATATAGATGAGGAAATTGAGGGACAAAAAACTTGGGTAATTCACTCAAGATCGTGCAGTTGAAAAACAGCAAAGCTAGGATAAGAACCCAAGCAGATGACTCCAATAGCAAACCATGCTCCATCTTTGAAACACATAGTCCCTACCCCTTGAGTTTATAATCTTGCCGCAGACACATACGGAACCAATAATTTCACAAATGATTAATTAAAATTTAAGTTTCTTCTAGAGAAATACCTTGTTACCTTACTTATAAGGAAATAAGCCCTGTTCAGTACCATCCTCACTTCTATCCTTCTGCAAAATCTCTCCCAAAACCGACTTTCTCTTCCTCACATGCTTCATACTCAGCCGATGACCTTGACTCTGTTTTATAAGAAATTAGTTGTCAGTGGGCATTAATTACTTCAGTGCTGTATTGGTCAGGGTTCTACAGAGAAACAGAAACAGTAGGATGTATGCATAAATAGAAACTTATGGTAAGGAATTGGCTCATGTGATTTTAGAGGCCAAGCTGTATCAGGATCTGCAGTCAGCAAGCTGAGATCCAGGATGGTATAGCTTCAGTCCAAGAGCCAGGAGGCTCCAGATCTAAGAGACAATGTCTCAGTCCGAGTTTGAAGGCAGGAAAAGATCCATGCCCCAACTCCAGGCAGCCAAGCAGAAGAAGTTCCCTCTTACTCAAGGGAGGGTCAGCCTTTGTGTTCTAGTCAGGCTGTCAACTGATTGGATGAGGCCCACCCACCCACGTTGGAAAGGGCAATTGGCTTTCCTCAGCCTACCAAGTCAATTGTTAATCTCATCCCGAAATGCTCTCAGAGACACACTCAGAACAACGCTTGACCATCCAGGGCCCAGTCAAGTTGACGCATAAAATTAACCATCACAAATGCTTTTCCTCTTCCTACCTCCCAAATTATTCATATCCACATGCACGCTAGTCCTTACTGTTTTCACCAGTTATGCTCTCTACTGGCTCTCTCTCCCGCCTAGGCACACTTTCAGGTTTCTCCCAGTTT